TTTTTTATTTTTCTTCCTTTTCTGCTAAATAAATGATCCTTTTTTATTAATTAAATTATATTAAGTTTGAAGGGATAATGATACAAATAATCTTGGTAATCTCTGAACTTTTAATTTATTCAATCTAGTCTTTGAATATTCACTCAATATGTAATGTTGTCCATGAACTACTTTGAATACTTCTATATAGTTCAGGGATAGTCCGGGGACTAAATTGAAAATGTACTAAAAGTTTAGGGACGACATTAGATAAATTAAAATTTCAGGAATCATATTACATATCGAGCTAAATTTTAGGGACCGCATTGAACAAATCAAAAGTTCAGAGACCACAATGTATGCTGGGCCAAAATTCAGGGACTGTTTGTGTCATTTTCCGTAAGCTGGAGTAAACAAAATTTATTTAGTTTGGTCGTTCACAAATATCAACAGTCTTCACTTTATTTATGTTAAAATGAATAAAATAAATTTATGGACGGCATCGCGGAGTACAGAATTGGAATAATTATTTTTTTATGTTGAGTGCTGTAGTTCTTTGCGATTTATATTATTTTTACCACAATTTCGGGACTAGGAGAAATAATAATAAAAAAATGGTGACGAGGAAAATAGGGAAGTATCTTCCGACCGAAGGAGGAATAATTCCGTTTGGATGCCCCTTTCAGGCTCTTCTTTTGGCGGGCGGAGAAAATTGGATGTGATCTGTAATTTATTAAATGTAAAATTTAATTGGAAGCAAAATCACGTTTACTAAGAATTATGGCTATTTTTAATCATTTGAAAAGTGGACACCAAATTCAAAGTTTTATTTTATACATGATATAAATATAGATTTTTTTTGGGGTGGTGTTTGTTAAGAAGAGTATGTGTTGTTGCATGATGACCAAAATTATAATTTAATAGACACATACGATCAACTCTGATTGCTCATGCTTTTGTATCAAGCCCCTATGGTTAATGGAATAAAATAGCGATGGAGAAAATGCTGAGTTTAGTTCAGCATTTGGAGAAAAGTGGGTTTCCATGAAAAAGCAAAGACTATTTGATAAATTGTAATTAAAAAACGCATTGGGAGGCAACTCTGAGAGAAATGCCATTTGATATTTGAAAAGTCATTCAGTGTGGCCAATTAAAGTATTTTTTAATTTGTTTAAAATTAAAAAAAATAATAACCGCAACTTTTATATTTAGTTCGTGTTGATGTAATGTAAAGGAGACACATTAACAAATTTGCAAATAAAAAATGGCTAATATCGCCTGAAAGCCTCAAAATGGTATACATGTTAGGGGTGATCGGTTTCAGAGTAGGTCGGTTCTAAACTTGGAACCTGAAACCAACCCTCTTATAATCGATTCATAGTTTTTGGAACCCGAAACCTATCCTATTTGCCATAGACCCTGTTTTGGAACTTACCCTATTTTTTCGGTCTGGTTCCAAGGTCTACCCAAGTACCTGTTTTTTTTTTGTTCCTATTTTTGGTTTCATTTTTCCATGTAGCAAATAGGAAAACTTATAACTCAGGTCAAAGATTATAAGCTTGATTGTACAAACAATCTTAAGTATTAATACAAAAGCAGATTATCTTATCCTAATAATTTAATGGACGTGATAAAATAATATAGGTTCCAGTTGGATATGTAGTTTTTTCGTTACAGAACAAAAATTTTAAGAAAAAAGAAATTGCTCCCTATAATGCTTACAAGTCCTTAAGTTAGACTATTCGCAAATAATGATTACCTCTCTCATCCTTCATGATGTAATGCTTTGAATTCTAGCAATATAAAATTGCAAATGGACCTCCATATAAAATCGGTTCTAAAACCGGTCCAGGTGGGTTTTCACTTGGAACCGAAAACCGGACCGATTCTAACCGGTTCCCAAAAAATGGAACCGATTCTCAGACCGGTTCAAATGGGAACTGGTTCCCAGACCTGTTTTTCTGGTGGGCCGGTTCGGTTTCCGGGTAAACCCAGTCCGGTTGCACACCCCTAATACATGTGCTATATTTATCCAAAATTAATTTGTCTCACAAAAGGTCCCAAATTCGAGGCACAAGGCACTAGATTATGGGTAAATGTGACACGAATGCACCAATTTAAGAAAATTCACATTTGTTTTTTGGCTAAAAAAATCACATCAAAGTGGACTCTTTCTCAATTAAAAATAGAGTATTTTTGTTATAATAAACATGGTCATATATGCCCCTAGAAAATATATACGTTATCCTTAAAAATTACAAGCATCCTTAAATATTTCCCAAACTTATAGATATTCCATTATACGACAAAAGATGCATTATCCTTAATAGTAAGGGTAAATGACACAAACGATTATTGGATGTTGGCCAAATGTGCAATGTGATTTATGAACATTTAATATGTTAAACGCAATCCCTCGACTTATGGTACATGTACCAAAAGCATCCTCTACAAGAGATGTGGCAATGCTGCTACTTTCAACTGCTAAACAAATTTTGTCAATTTGTTTTAATAACTTAGCAACTCCAGTCAATTTCTTTTATTTCTTTCCTCGAGCTTGCCACACTAAACTCTGCTTCGTTCTTTTATGGCTCTTACTTTCAATTGGTTTAACAATTTTTTTACCTACATTACACTCTAAATTATCAGTTGATACCGTACCATCACCGATATCAAGTTGTGGGCCTCAATATCCTCATTACATGATTTTTGTGCAGGATTTCATGTGACATTTCCAATGGCAACCGTATCTCTAAAATTTAACAAAACTTCAAGATCCGGATATATGCCTTTCTTTCTAAAAACTCTTACACGTTCATCACTCACATCACTAATGTTTTTCCTTGAATCCATCCGCTGTGTAGATAATAACAAATAATTTCCTTTACCAAACATCCTTACTTTTTCTCATGTGACTTTAGAGGCCCAAAGTCCCTTTAGTAAGCCGAACTGAATATATTCTAACTACTCAATAGCGAGCGATAGATATAAGGGATTGGATTTAGGTTCTTATATGAACATTTATATATATTTTAATGAAAGGCTCGTATAAAATTGTATTACCTCATGACCATCCAACTATGCATTACTAAAACATAACATGCGTGACTATAGCTATCATATGTGAATATACGGTTAAGGTTGTGCTTGGGAATGGCTTTCCTAAAGGATTTTGAGCCTCCAAAGGCCTTTGGACGAATGCATTTCCAAAGTCTTTTAAAGTCCTTAGCCCGAGGCGGGTTCGTAGGAGTTTTGGGCTTTAATATTTCCGATATGTTAATACACTTTTTTCTTCTAATTTTGCTCTCGTTAAAAAATTTCGAAATTCTGAAAATGCCCTCACTACCGACCACCTTGCGCGATGTCGCGAGCGACACCAAATCTACTGCTGGCGAGCCCTTGGCGGGCAATTCTCGTCAAACACTGGCGAAGGGTTCGAGTTGTTTTTTTTTTTCATATATTGAAAGTCCTTTTATAAGTGTACTGATTCTAAAACACCATTTAAACCAAAATTGCTTCCCAATGCACTTTTAAGTAAAAGTCTTTGCATTTTCCCGAAGGCTTTCTCCAAAACCCAACAAACGTATCCTAAATCTACATGGCAATTCCAACCATATATATCCATCTATCGGGAACTTGTCTTGACAGGCTAGGTTCCGAGTTGTAGGTGGAACGGGAACCTATTAACTTATCATTGGAAGTATGTTAGTATACATCTTCATCCTCGTTTAATACTATAAGATGAAATAACTAATATTTTTAATAATAAAAGAAATGAACTTTCACTCTCCATTGTACATTTCTAAATTGCTAAATTGACTTAAAAAAATTAGATTTCATTCATCTACTGTTACACTAATGCCGAGAGAATTATAACAAAATCACTCAAACATAGTAATTGAACTGCCAAAGTAGAATGCTTAGATAATTGAACCGCGAGAAAAGAAACATTTACTTAGAGATCGTAGGGGAAAACATTTAAAGTAATTTAATAAAATATTTAAATATTAAATCATGCTTTGATATGAAAATTTAAGCTTTCATAACAGTGATCCCATCAAAATCTCACATGATCAATAATTTTAAAAAAAGTTGATAATAGGTTGGATTTAGGATAGTTCAAAGGTGGAATGCCAAAAAAAATCACAATGAAAGAAGGAGTGGAAAAACAAAACTCAAAGGAATATGGAGACTTTGGACATAGGAGGAGAAGCGAAGCACGGCCAATGATGAAATCAAACTTTTCCAGGTAGATAGGAGAGAATGATGAACAACTTTCGGATGTGGACGAATTGATGTTGGAGACTCTAAATGCCATAAGAACATTAAATTGCACATCTAGGTGCGGCTAATTTCGTGGAGAAAGCACCGAAAATAATGAGAAGAGGCGCCCATTTAGGTATCTACAATCTTAAATGGTAAGTTTGCTGGCTGCACTTAGACAAATATTCCGTAGTAATATGTTTACATGGACAAGCCGTGCAAAATACAAGTCACTTGAAATTATAATTCGAGCACCGTTACCGAGACCGCTGCATGCACATCTTCAAAATGTTCTTCTCGACGTATCTCGCGATCGTTCGTGACGGGCAATGTAATAAATTTCCGTTGCTCAAATTTCTCGTGTAACATTTATGCAGCTCGAATCTTAAAAGGCAAAATTCACGAGACCTCGATCCGTTGCTCGCCCGCTTCCGATAGCGATCGACAGAGGGCGATTTTGCAACCGACATTGGCTGGTCTCTTGTGACTGGTCGGTCACGATTGATGGGATGATCGGTAATTCGAGGCTCGATTAAAGTAATCAAGGACGAAATCAAGGAAAGGACAAATGTAAAATTAGAGGGTCAAAAAGGCCCGTTAACTTTTTGTTTTTGTTCTTGCGATCGAACACAAAAAAAGTCATAGCTTTTGGGACAAGAACACGACCTGCAAAATCCTTAAACCGAAACATCAGAGGAACAAAAATAATAAAATTAAATAAATAAAAGAATAAAAGAATAAGAATAAAAAGGAGAAAAGGGAGAAAAAGCAAAATGGGAGGAAACGCCACAGTGAAAAAGAGGGAGCAAAAGAACAAACGATGCGAACGCGAATCCTGAACCTCAACCCCAGCCAACGCAGCCTCCGCGCCGCTCGCAACCGCATCCGATTCGCCGCCGCCACCGCCGCCACCGCCGCCGCCGCCGCCGCCGCCGCTCCCTGAGCGCTCATTCCCCTCCCGTCGCCACCCGCGCAGAGCCAATGGCAGGTCCGGACGCGGTCTCGGCGCCGGAGCCGCAGAGCAAGGCCAGGGTCCTCGCGGCCCTCCTCGTGGGCGGCGCCGTCGTCGGGGCCTCGCTGCTCGGCCTCTACCTCACCGGCGCCCCGCTCGGGATCGGGGCGGGGCTGGGGGGCTGCCGGAGGAGGAGGAGGGGGAAGAAGAGGCCGGTGAGGGTGTACATGGACGGTTGCTTCGACATGATGCACTACGGCCACTGCAACGCCCTCCGGCAGGCCCGCGCCCTAGGGGACCAGCTCGTCGTCGGGGTCGTCAGCGACGCGGAGATCGTCGTGAACAAGGGGCCGCCCGTGACGCCCCTGAACGAGAGGATGATAATGGTGAACGCCGTCAAGTGGGTGGACGAGGTGATCCCCGATGCGCCGTACGCGATCACCGAGGAGTTCATGAAGAAGCTGTTCGACGAGTACCACATCGATTATATCATCCACGGCGACGATCCCTGCGTCCTTCCCGACGGCACCGACGCCTACGCGCTTGCGAAGAAGGCCGGGAAGTACAAGCAGATCAAGCGTACGGAAGGTGTTTCGAGCACCGATATCGTTGGTACGGTCTTGTTCTTGTTCCTTTCTTCGCAGGTTTCTTCTTTTCTCTTCCCTTTTCTAGTGTAGGCATTTGCAGCGTGTGGGAAGTTTCTTGAAATGCTTCGGAATATGGATCGTTAATCTTCCTTTGTTCTGCAAATGTGTCTCATTGTGTATTCCAGCTTGTAAATTAAGCTTCCTATGACGGATCTCGAGAAGGAAAACTTTTTTCTGCTATTATAGTTTTACTCATTATGGTGGATTCTGGTGGCATTGGTCCTCTCAATGGACTCCTGGAAGGGAAGGTTTTGGTAACGCGGCGTGAGTTTTTATGATGGTGGTAATGAGAGTTTGAGCTGCGAAAGCTGCTGATGAGATTACTCTTTTACCTCAATGGATTGATCCTTTTTTTTCAACAGGGGTTTGTAGGATGTGCATGATCAGTAATGTTTTAGCATGTACTGAGCAGGATTTGTTGGTAATTATTTTTGAGTTATTCCTTTGAGCAATTCGCAATTTCTGTTCTTATGGAAGTTCTCTCGCTGAAACAGGTCGGATGCTGCTTTGTGTGAGGGAAAGAACTATTAGTGACACTCAAAATCATTCTACCCTGCAAAGACAATTCAGCCATGGTCGGAGTCCAAAAGTTGAAGATGGTGGATCTGGTGCTGGGACTCGTATATCTCATTTTCTTCCTACATCTCGAAGAATTGTCCAATTTTCTAATGGAATTGTGAGCTACAGTATATATCTATTGTCCTTATCTATCATCAGCATGATCTTAGAACATAGATTTGTGATTGGAAGATTCTGGTAGATCACCAGAAAGAGCAATCTCTATTTTAGTCGTCGACAAGATGAAGTTGCATGTTACACTTTCGGAGTAGATGACCAACATGATTTAGAAATGTCAACATTGTAAATATAAATTGGGATGACTAGGATCAGTTGGCTATTAGAAATCTGATGTTGTAAAAAGCTATCAACACCCCTTCCCTTTATGCCTTTTTTTTTTCCTTCTCTCCTTTAGACTTGCCTCTTCTTTAGTCTAACCGTTATTTGCTGTTCTCTGTTTGTGTAGAGCCCAGGACCAGATGCTCGTATAATCTATATAGATGGTGCATTTGATCTATTTCATGCCGGACATGTGGAGGTACTTATATTGCCTTTTTGCCTTTGCATACCCACAGATAGGCTGCCACACATCATGAGAATGTTTGTTGTTAAGAGGAGGAACTATCCACGCAAAAATTCTCTCTTTTTGCCTTTTAATATAATTTACCTTTTCAGCTTTTCTCAGTGCGAAGTGTTAACATATGCTCTCAGGGAAGAATATCTTAGACAGAATTAGTTGGAAGGAGGACAATTGAACAGCTATCTAACATTAATATCAAAGGAAGTAGTTAATGGTGATAGATTCAATGCTGGACAGCTAGTGTCCCCCCATTGACAACTCTAGTGTAGTAAATACCAAGATCTGTTGATTTGTCTCCAGCTTAAGCTTCCATTAATTAGACGTCTCTCTTGGAAATTATATGATGTCAGTGGCCTTTTCAAGAGTATAGGATTAGTCGCTAGCCTTTGTGTCGGCTCATGATATATCTCAAAGTCACTCTGGCCACATAGATTATTGGTGGCGTGCCCTTCTGTTCTGTATTTTCTTTAAGCCAATAGATGAGCTGCAATTTACTTTGTCTATCATATGTGCACCTGATAAATCAATAGAGACCTTGGTACTATTTTCAATATCACCCAGAGACAAATTGCTTTCTTGTCTTGTCCTTCCTTTTATTTCTCTTTTAGTGTTCTAATGTTACGTATGTGTTGTTCTCCACATATTCATTCCTAGTGCAATTAAATGCCGCAGTTCTTGTACCCTTTCAAAAGCTGAGTCAGGCAGATGAAGCCAATGGTTAGTATAAGTGAGAAATGTTGAGATGTCTGCAGAGTACCAAGATCTGTAATTTGGATGTCTACTTTGTGTCAGGAGTTTGAACCTATTTTTGCGGTCTTTGTTTATAGATATATAGTAGGAACATGATTGAGAAGGCACAAGATGTCTACACAATTGAAAATCAAAGAAAGGAAGCTAGACAAGCTTACAAGAAAACATAGACCTGCCAACCTGTTAAGTGACTATTTATATACTACACGTGGACATACATACACACCCTATGATAATTGATGTTTCAGACTTAAACTAACAGGTTTGGTTTAGGAGAATTTGATACCTATTAGAAAACTGTCTATAGCATGAGCTAGGTTTATAGTAGATTATATTAGCTTATCTTTTCTATAAACAGCGGTTAATTTTGGTATGTTCACTGTCTACTATGTCTTACTATAGCTTTACTCCCTGTGGTCATAAGGTGATAGAGAAGTATAAAATAAGAAACCATGAATATAGAGATAATAGGAGGCAATGAAGAAAAAGCAGAGGGATTCCTTTGCTTTTCTTATTTCTGCAATACAAATTGATTCCGCTCAAATGGCTTTTGGGTGGATCCAGTAAAAGTTGCCCAGGAGATTCTGTTGGTGCTACTGAAAGAGAAAGATATTGGATGAAAGCCTTCCCAAGACATGCCTCTTTTGTTTCTTATGCCCTCCGTTTCTCATTGATTTCAGGGGCTATTTGGTTTCAGGCTTTCAGCTATGGCTGTTGTACACATTCTGTTTTGTGATAAAGTTCTTATTGCACTTTTAATAGATCTCCATTGTCGATTGCTTGCTTTTAGTGAAGATAACGTGCTTTAGTGTTTATACTGGTCAGTATGAGCTTGTTGAGAAGTTTGTCGGTATTATCACTAACTTCGGTGTTTTGTACAGATTTTGAGGGTTGCACGTGCGCTTGGAGATTTTCTTCTTGTGGGAATACACACTGACCAGACCGTCAGGTTGTGAACTCTTTCTTTTTCTTTAATCATTTGTTCAAGGTTTTGTTTGGTGCATGTCAATTACATGAAACTCTAGAGTTTGAATGTTCACTTTGCTCTATGTCTTATCATCTGATGGTTCTATTGCCATTTCCCATGGCTGTCGCAGTTAGTCAGTGTAATCTTGCAAATACTAAGCAGTCAAGATTCTGGCCTGAAGGCAGAATTAGTCTACCTTTTCGAAGTTGTGTGAATATGTGGTTTATTCTCTTTCAGCCATGTCGCACAGCCCTGATCTTATTCTAAAAAAGGCAATGGCAATCATTAGATGTGCTTCCCATTATAGAGCATCGATAGACCACTATTTTATGGGTGACTAACTAGAAAGATTACTAGTTTATAGGGGAACTCGTTAGTACAACACTGATGTGTTTGTTTTGCTCTTTTCTGAGTTTTTACATCCATCCAAAAGTTGCTGCCCCACTCCCTAACCATGTCCTCACCACTGTTAAGTGGTTTTGCAAATGGATTTTTTGGTTCAAGATTGATAAGATATATAGATCATGACAGTGGCATAACGTCTCTGATATTGAATTACTGAAAGCCGTGCTGCTTATTCATGTTGAACTTATCCCATTTATGTTAATTTCTTCTAAAAGTTACCAAAGAGGACCTTGCTTTTCCTGTGTTATCGCTAGCGCTTAGTAGTTTTGGGAGCTTTGTGAAGTCAAACCATGCATACGCACAAATCTGCCTCTAATATGATTTATATGGTATTCTCACTTACTTCTTGTCTAATATTAGCAGCAACTCCTTGTAATTATTTGTGGTGATTGGGTTATTGTTGCTAATGTTGGTGGATATTTCTGCTTGAATGGCGCTAATTTATCTGCTTTCAGTCTGACTTACTTAGTTTTAAAGCATTCACTCATGGATTATATGTAATGACAATTGTAGTTTATATTAATGATACTTTGATGGGTCCAAGGTTGCTTTTGGTTTGAATTTCTCAGACTTAACACATTTGTGGTTTGTCAACAATGGCTTTGCAGTGCTAAAAGAGGAGCACATCGGCCAATCATGAATCTTCATGAAAGAAGCTTAAGTGTTTTGGCATGCCGGTATGTGGATGAGGTGATAATTGGAGCCCCATGGGAAGTGTCCAGAGATATGGTTGGTATTCTCTCTGAAGCTATATACTTTAGGATGAGCTTGATATATTGTATTATCAGTTGCTTTCGTCCAATTTTTTAGCAATCTCCTTTCTAAATTTTGAGGGTGTGGAAATGAAATTATTAAAATGTTATCTATGGTGAATGATTGTTAAAGTTGAGGTGGATGTTGCGATTTTGTCTACAAATCACTCATTTAGAGGATGGGGTTGTTAATGACACAATCTGAGGGGCAGAGAGAGGGAGGGATTGACGGATTCCCAGGCTATCTTTGTGAAAAGCACTTATGTTCTAGAAAGATAATCTCAGACTTCCCTTTGATATCTTATTTGGATTATCTTAGCAAGACATCCATTTATCACTTTAGGTTACTAACTCGAGTTCTTGTGCAGATCACAACATTTGATATTTCCTTAGTTGTCCATGGAACAATAGCAGAAAACAACGATTTTCAGAAGGTGAACAATAGCACATGGCTGCTTGTTATACAATTGCTTATTCTGTTGAAGTATTAATATTCTTTTGTTTGTTAACTACCCACATGAATTCATAATGACAGGATGAAGGGAATCCATATGCTGTTCCAATCAGTATGGGCATCTTCAAAGTCCTGGAGAGTCCTCTGGATATTACAACTACAACAATAATTCGGAGGATTGTAGCAAATCATGAAGCTTTCCAGGTAGGTCCTTCCTGACATGTGATTTTAGCTCTCTGTATTTTCTAGGCGATCTATGGATTATACCGTCTTCTTACTTTTCAACGACGATCAAAGTGCTATACGTATAAGAAAATAAATTCTTCTTGGCCATTGCACACGAAACTATTTGACTATACTTGATCCTTTCTGCCCGGGAGGTGTATCATTAAGGTAATTGACCTTATTTGATTTCCAATGAATATTGTGTATCTAAAATTTGTCAAGGAACCAAGGCGTGGCCTTGAGGTGGTTCACCCTTACCAACATCCATGATATCTTGTTCGATTGCTATTTTCTCCCTCTCGTCTTGTCTAAGACATTGTTCCCTGTGGGCTGTATTTGCATTGTAGAATGCTGATATTACCTGCCCTGCAGCAATAGACATTAGTTGGTTTTCCACGGTAGAAGTTCAAGGGGTGCTTAGTTGACAAAGATATAGAGTTCTTTCTTGGACTCACAAAAAACAAGATAAATGGAATTTGCAAGCACACTAACTCCACCACCAATGACTTTGTTTTACTTTCCTGCAGAAACGCAATGAGAAGAAGTCAGCAAGTGAGAAGAGGTACTATGAAGATAAGACTTATGTTACGGGGGATTGATGTTAGAAAATCTGGGGCACCTCCATGGTTTATTGCCCCAGCAACTTCCCTTATTTTTTATTGCAAAGTAGAACAGTTGCAGATTATTCTAGGATAAAGCTCGTGTCTTACAGGGATGCGGCATTGTATACGGCTCAATTGGGATACTGATCATTTTGATGATCGCATGTACTTGATGAGTTTGGCTTGCCATACCCCTCTCTGTCTCTCTCTGAGCTTGATCGGTGTCTTGCAGTTGAGTTCACCATCGTGGTAGAGTTGTAGGGGCTAAGAAATTAGGTGGGTGATTCATCAGAGACTGGAGGTAATCACAGTCACCCATTCTTGTGTCATTTGGGTCATTCATTGTTGTCACCCTGCACCTAAAGCGATTTTGGATTTGTTGACTGCATACGGTTGACCTTTGCTGTCTAATTACGGTGGTACTGCAAGTGCAAAGCATGAAAGGGAAAGAGAGCCAAAAGAATTATGGTTGTTTGTGTGTATGACCTTGGACATCTGAAGCAATCTGATTCACGTGCTGGTGGAGGAGACCGGGAACAGAACCCGAGTCAAGTGAAATACGAGTTTAAGCAATGGTGGTACAGGGCAGTAGTTTTTTTTTTTTTTGGTCGGAAAGGGCAGTAGTTTAGTGGTTGTGAAAAGGCATGATGAGGGCAAGAAAGTGCACGGCAGAGAGTAAAAAATTGCACGGGGATAATGAAATATCGTGTTCGGTAGCAAGTTAGGTCATTTCTGTCGAAATGATGCTGTCTGGGTGTTGAGTGTTCGAGAACTACCATTGTCAATATATGTCATGGATTGATTCTTATGCAGCTTGACATCTTCGAGCTTATATCTCAGGTTTTAGAAACTACCAGGAGTGAAGATTGCCATCCTGGTTGCTCTATGGATCAACCAAATAAGTCAAATCTGCATTAGATATGTTGCTTGGTCAACCTCGAGGATGAGCGAACGATGAATATCCAACATGTGATCGAAACTGGAATGATTTGACGTACATTGTGATGGCCCCCGACATTTCTTAGCGACTTGAAAGTGAAAACATGTGGGAATTGGAAATAGTAGAATGGAAAGGGATGCAATCGCCGCAGTAGAAATGCTGATTTCATATGATGGATGGGAAGTGAGTTAGGTTCCTTTTTAAGTTAAAGCCACGGCATTTCCAGTTTCAAACCTTGTATGGAATATACAATACTAGGCTTTTGCGAACAAAATAAGATTGAACAATAAGAATTCTATGAATGTCGCTGACTGTACCATGTGTGTCGTCTCTCTCTTTGCCCTCGGAATATTCATCCACCGTCGTCATCTAAGAACACAAAACCAGTGTGTAGGGTTTCCTACAGATCCAATCCAAGATCACGACAAGGCGAGCTCCGGGTTGCACCGCCAAGCTGAACACGTCGTCCCCTAGCAGGACCGCTGTGTTCACTGTCTTCCTCGATATCTTTGCCACGATCTCCCCTGTGGAGCTCCTCATGATGCAGTTTAGCCTTGTGAGCGAGCCTTCGATCGCGAAACCGGCGCCTGACCCGTGCTTTGCACATCCTCCCAATAACACCTCGGCTTCAATGTTGCTGCTCTTGTGAAAGAGCAGTGAACTCCTCGTGGAAAATACTCTCAAATGGGGAGTCCTCTTTGCATAGTTGTTCTCTCCGTTACAGGCGTGCCACTGGCATTGCATGCTCGGAACCTGTTGACAACATAACACTAATTGGAGAGAAGAAATTGGACAAAAATTTCTCAAAAAAATTTATGGTTTTTTGCAAATTTTTGTAGCTAGAGCCAATTCAAATCTCAAAACAATCTCTGATTACTCCCTCTGACAGCCTAGCAAAGTTTGAATCGGAAGGAACATTAATATTACGCATCAATTGGAGAATATATATATTTTCAGCAGTTACGTAAATTTCTCTTTATTGAAAATCTAGACTCCTTGAAATGATGGATCGTATAATCCGAGCATCCCTCTCGGCGACAAACAAGATAAAAATGTGAATAGCACGAGTCTACCTCCAATTTTTCCGTCCCTCTACGCAATCTAATATCAAAACGAAGGTGGAATTTAATGTCTCACTAAAGTCACAGCTGCATAGGAGCCAAATATTTTTAGCATCAAAACTAGCTGCTTCAGGAGGCATGGCGAAACATATAAGAGAAATCCATCACCCGTGGTCTCAAAGTTAGAAGGCCATTTCCGTCTCCTTCCATCAGCAGAAGCCCCCCTCCTCCGTGCTCGCACTGACATTTTATCGAACAGTTGTCGACCCGGAAGACCCAGCCTCCCGCGCTGATCGAAGACCGTGTACCCATCGGTCCCTTGGAAGCTCGTGCTCGATTTCTTCCGCACGGCGAGCTTCGCCGGGCTAACGACGTCGCCGCCGGAGTCGTCATTCTCCTCCCGGCGGCGGCCGGCATTCGCACCGGTTCTCGTCGTGGTGAATCTCTACGCACGATGGCTTCTACGATGACCACAAATCCTCGTGGGGCTTGGCTCTTGACCGCGAGGTTCAAGTTTCTTGTGTGAAGGTTCCGTTTTGCTGGTTCTTCCCATCCTCTGTGAGGGAGAGAATGTCGTTTTTCTGGCTCGACCTGTGACGGTTCTCAAAGACTCCTGTTAGGGTTTCGTAATGGATGCCAAGGACATTCTCGGGCTGCCCAAGAACCAGCTTCCCATCCCCCAAGAGAAGAAGTCTAGGCCTCCGAAGGAGCCTCAGAGGAAGCCCGATGGCATTTCGCGGGAGGTGATTGGTTTTTTGAGTCCGCCCTGTTTCTCTGTTTTCTCTGTTGTCTCTGTTACTGTGGCTTATATATTTGTGAATTTCAGCAGCTACAGAGAGCTTTGAATCTGCTAAAATTTTGTAGGTTTATGCGCTTACCGGCGGTTTGGCGCCTCTCATGCCGTCAGTTGATGCTTCTCAATTGAGACGACATCCTCCTCCGGACGAGAAGGTTCGTTGAATTTTGGTTTAAGGTAGTGTAGTGAGGTTGGTTTTGGGGTTTAAGCTCATGATCAGGTCTAGAGTAGTTATAGGATTCTAGGGGTGGCGCGTTTGTACTTAAGTATTGGTTAAAGGGCAGAGTTTGATGTGCCTATCTTGGTTTGTGTCATGAAACATGACTTTAACACTCTCAGTAGGATATAACGAATGATGTGTTAGTTGTTGTAGAGATTTTGTAGTATCCGCGTGGGCTGTTTCTCCCAAATGACAGAGCTTTCTGGAATATAGATGACACTTTCGGTTAGTCCACATATTGTCCATTGCTTTTGTAGAATAGAATGACCAATCATTCTATTCATTATTTTGAGTTCCAGGCTTCTTTTATGTGTAATCTCTTGTATTAAAATCACTTCAGAGAATTCTGCCCTTTGCTCAGATTACTTGGCAGTGGCTACCTTTCACAAATTCTGCTAGAAAGGATGATTTGCAGCTCTTCCATTGGGTAAATTTTCCTGCCCTTCACAGTTGAGAACTTTTTATCGGGCTGTTGCCAGTGGTAAAAGCTCCCTTGTTTCTTAAAAATGTGCAGGTCAGAGTCGTGAATGGTGTTCCACCAACTGGTGATTATGCTTTTGCCAAATACAACAAGGTAAAGCTCTTGTTGGTTATAAATTTTCTGTATGTTGTCTGGTGAGAGAAGGTTTTTGTGTTTATGTGCCAATGTAAATGTGAAAGTTTATCAAACTGTTTTTGATGTAATGCAGTCTGTCAACATTATTAAGTATACCGATGAGGAGTATGAGAAGTACTTGACTGATCCTGTAGGTACCCTCTCAAGTTTTGTCTTCGTAACCTCGGAATAGATACAGTTTTTGTCTGGTTTTTTCCATTGGAAGAGAATACACTTGATGCTTGTTGCACATGACTTTATCTGTTGGCTGGCTTTTCAAATTCTCCTTTCCTGACCAAGTTGTTCTACCTTTTTTCAGACATGGACCAAAGAAGAGACAGATCAATTGTTTGACTTGTGTGAAAGGTTTGATCTCCGCTTTATTGTGATAGCTGACAGGTTTCCCTCATCTCGCACAGTGGAGGAACTGAAGGATCGCTATTATAGTGGTAAGTGTCTGTTTTTGAGGTTGAGTGAAGGTTTGTTCACATGAACTTTCTTGTTTTTTATCTTGATGGCTATTCGGCTGCATATGTTTAGTATCTCGTGCTCTTCTGAGTGCTAGAGCTGCTCCAGGAGATATCGCCAATGACCCTCTTGTAAAGGTTGGTGATGAAGAATTAAGCATCTATATTATATTTGAGATGGTTAATTAGGGCATGTCCCTGAGTTCACTTTGTACCCAAGTTAAATGATTGCCATACTCATCTGTTTCTTCACGACACAGGAACCTTACAATATGTCACAGGAAGTAGAGCGCAAACGTGCCTTGTCAATGGTCCTCTCTCAAACAAAACATCAAGAGAGAAAAGATACTGAGGTCATTATTTTACTATGGCTTTCGGCAGAAGAATCGAGCATTTCTTGACCGGTAGATTCATTGATGAGCAAATATCGACCTTTTCTTTTGTTTCTCATTAATTTGTTGTTTTCTTAGGTACTGGCTGAAGCAAAAAGGATAACAGAGTCACGCATGGCTGCTAAGGTTGGTCTTGTTGCCCTATTGCATAGCTTTCTAGTTTTGCTTTCCGTTTTCAGGAAGGGGGCATTATTACTCTTCAGAAAGAATGAACTTAATGAATAACACAGCTCTGGCATCCAGAGGAGTATCTATTCTTACTCCAATTCTGATAGTGTGATTGTGCGACGTTTCTGGAGATTGCAGTTCTTAAGTCTTTTTTCTTCATTTCCAGGGCCCTGAAGAGTCTGAGTTGCCCGTAGCAGCAAATATTGGTCCTGAAAATAGTCAGAGAGCTGTGGTCAGTGGTGACGCTGTAACTCCTTCAAATGCTACACTTCCCTCTGCTATCACTGCATCGTCAACATTAATGGCAGACAATGCATCTACTCTTGCTTCTCTTCGCATGGTAGGTACTGTTTGCATCTAAGATGACCTTCTTTTCCCCTTAAAAGTTCCTTTTGATTCTTCCCTATTATTTTGGTAAGTCTGCCCCACTGAGTAGTTTACTGTTGACACTATTTCCGGTATTAAACTTTTAACGCCTTCGCACAACTCTGAGAAAATTTCAGCTCCGTGTGTACTTGAGAACGTATGCTCTTGATCAAATGGTGCAAGCTGCGAGTGCATCTGCGGGACATCGGACAATCAAGCGGGTTGAGCAAACGTTGCAAGAACTTGGGGTATGTTTATTTCCTCTTTCATGGAATGGTTTCAGGAACCTTTCTTGGCAGGGGAATTTCATGTGGTCGTTATCACAAAATTTTTAATTAGGATTTAAAAAGAGTTACTTCCTGCTCTATGTTATGTGAATGGATTTATTGTTCATTTTTTCTGTTGCAGTTATAAGCCTTTGCTAGGTTTTAATTCTCCTGCGACTTGGTAATAAATTTTTAAGCTTTTTGTCAACAAGTGTACATAATTATTTCAATTCCCTCTATTTTCAGGTGAATTTGAAACCAAAAGTTCCAACCAAAGCTGTTTGTGCGGAGCATCTTGAATTAAGGAAAGAGATATTGAGTCTTCTCAATCTTCAGAAGCAGGTAATTTCTTGTGTAACCATAATTATATTCGTCTCTTTGTCTTAATTGTTTGATTTCTGAATTTTTCATGAGCAGATTACGTATCTCTAAGCTTTTAGATTTTCTTTCAATCAGAAGGTCTTCCATTTTTGTTTATATCTCAGTAAAAACTACATTTGCTCATTGTGTCATCAAGCTCATGTATCATCTGCTGTCATGACATTTGAATTAATACAAGTAACCATGATGGCCTGGTGTAGCTGTTATTTAGTTTTTGACAGCAATTGCATTTTGAATTTGCTTGATATGGCTGCTAATAGTGTCTGGTTGCTCACTGACCATAGATTATCTGAGTTTTGATTAAATAAAGAAGTATGCCTGTGCAGCAATGAAGTATTTTAATAGCTCATTTTCCCTAATGTTCATTAAGGAAATAACACGAGAGGAAACCACATAAAGAATAATTAGATTTGTTGAGTTTTTTTTTTTTGGTCAGGAGATTTGTTGAGTTGGAAAATTACAAATTTGAAATTTTCATTAATGCGCATGCCCACTCTCAAATTTCAGCTTCAATATAAGGAAGCAGAAGGTACGTCTTTTCATGACAGTCCTTACTCAGAAACACCAGGCACCCCAAAGGTCAGTATTTCGATACTCTAGCAGACTGAGATGAGATGTAGTTGAGCCACTGCAATCATTGCTTTGCATTTGCTACTATCGTTCTGAACCGTATTCTGTATCCCGTAAAAATACTGCTCTGTAGTTTTCTTTTATGATTAAAAGTCAAATGTCTCTCGTGATAACAGCGCACGCCCCGAGGGGACCAGGATCGGCCATTTATGCCTGACCCTCTTAGTTTTGGAGGTATCTTTTGGTGGTTACTGTCAATTTCCAATTTTTCACTCTGTGGAACCTTTTGTTGTTTCCTATTAATAGTCTCCTGTGATCCCTAGACTTGTAGCTTGAAATGATTGAATTCAGATACATGAACGAATTGCAGGTGATAGATTTGGCAAAAGGGACCAGAAACGCAAGGTAACCAGGTTCTCCTATTAAGTTAAAGATGTACTTGTTCTTGTACAAGGTCCAGTACCTAATGTCATGATTCTTTTCCCTTTCGTAATTAATTTGGCATCTTCAGGCACCTGGAAGATCATCAGAAGCTGCACAATCCCCATCTCAATCTAAAAGGCCTCGCAAGATGAAGGCTTCTGACATCTAGTCATGGGATGATTGACTTTTGGGCTATTGGTAACAGTGGCTTGCAGCATGATGGTCTGACGCAAAATTTGTGCTTCCCCAGATGCTTGGTGAACGATTAAGCACGAAAAGCAGATGCAGCTCCCTCGAGATTGCTTCTTTTTGTCGGATTTGGAGTTGAGCCGAAGCTTAGACATCAATGCTGAGCTTTTCCTGGAATGAGTTGGTACACATGACAATTACTCATCAACGTTCGGGTGCCTGTCCTGATCATGAAAATCCTGCTTCCTTAGCTGACATTACATATATATAGAGTGACTACCGTGGTGATCTTTTATGGATGGGGGGTTTTTCCCATTAGCATCATCTTTCTCTGGAATACGCAAGCACACTAACTCCACCACCAATGACTTTTCCTTTCCTGCAGAAACGCAATGAAAAGAAGTCAGCAAGTGGGAAGAGGTACTATGAATATAAGACTTATGTTACAGGGGATTGATGTTAGAACATCTAGGGCACCTCCATGGTTTGTTACCCCAGCAATTTACCTTCTTTTTTATTGCAAAGTAGATACAGATGCAGATTATTCTAGGATAAAGCTCGTGTCTTACAGGGATGCGGCATTGTATACGGCTCAATCGGGATACTGATCGTGTGATGATCGCATTTACTTGATGAATTTGGCTTGCCATACCCCTCTCTGTCTCTCTCTGAGTTTGATTGGTGTCTTGCAGTTGAGTCCACCATTGTGGAAGAGTTGTAAGGGCAAAGAAATTAGGTGGGTGATTCATCAGAGACTCTGGGTAATCACAATTATTCATTCGTGTGTCATTTGGGTCATTCATTATTGTTACCCAGCACCTAAATTGGACAATGCGATTTTGGATTTTGTTGACTGTGTACGGTTGCCCTTTGCCGCCCAATGTCGACAGAGTTGTACTGCAAATGCATGAAAGAAATGGAGAGTTCCTCATAAAGGATGAAAGGGAAAGAGAGCCAAAAGAAATAGGGATGTTTGTCAACTTGACCTTGGTCATCTGAAGCAATTTAATTCAAATGCTGGTGGTGGAGACTGAACAGAACCGAGTCAAGTGACATATGAGTTTAAGCAACAGAGGAAAAGGGCAGTAGTATAGTGGTTGTGTAAGGCCATGATAAGGGCAAGAAAGTGCATGACAGAGAGTAATTTGCTCGACGATGATGAGGTATCCTGTTCGGTAACGAAGGTCGAGGCAGGTTATAAAATTTTATAACAAGTTAGTTCATTTCTGTCAGAAATCATGCTGTCAGGGTGTTGAGTGTTCGAGAACGACCATTGTCGATATATGTCATGGATTGATTCTTATGCAGCCTGACATCAACGAGCTTATATCTCAGGTTTTAGAAACTACCAGGAGTGAAGACTGCCATCCTAGTTGTTATGTGGATCAACCAAATAAATCGAATCTGCACTATATATGTATGTTGCTTGGTCAACCTCAAATATGGGTGAACGATGAATATCCGACATGTGATCGGACTGGAATGAATTGACGAACATTGCGATGGCCCACGACACTTCCTTGTGACTTGAAAGTTAAAAACATCTGGGAATTGGAAATGGTAGAATGTAAAGGGATGCGATCGTTGAAATAGAAATGCTGATTTCATATATGGAAAGTGACTTAGGTTCGTCCTTAAGTTAAAGCCATGGCATTTCCAGTTTCAAACCTTGTCAGGAATATACAATACAAGGCTTCTGCGAACAAAATAAGATTGAACAATAAGAAATCTATGAATGTGGCTGACTACTATGTGCGTCTCTCTCTTCGCTCTGTGAGTATTCATTCACCGTCGTCATCTAAGAACACAAAACTGGCGTGTAGGGTTTCCTACAGATCCGATCCAAGATCACGACAAATGCCATGGCGAGCTCCGGGTCGAACCCGGGTTGCACCACCAAGCTGAACACGTCGTCCCCGAGCAGGACCACCGTGTTTGCTCTCTTCCTCGATATCTTCGCCGTGATCTCCCCCGCGGAGCTCCTGATGATGCAGTTTCGCCTCGTGAACGAGCCTTCGATTGCGAAATCCGGCGCCTGACCGTGCTTCGCACACCCTCCCAAGAACACCTCGGCTTCAATGTTGCTGTTCTTGTGAAAGAGCAGTGAAGTCCTCCTCATGGAAAATACTCTCAAATTGGGAGTTCTCTTTCCATTGTCGTTCTCTCCCTTATAGGCGTGCCACTGGCATTGCATGCTCAGAACCTGTTGACAACACAACACAAACATTAAGTTTCACAGAAGAAATTGGACAAAATTTCTCAGAAAAAATTGTGGTTTTTTGCAGATCTTTGTAGCTAGAGCCGATTCAAATCTCAAAACAATCTCGATTACTCCCTCCGACACCCTAGCAAAGTTTGAATCGGAAGGAACAATAACATTATGCATTAATTGGAGAATATATATTATAATTCAGCAGTTAAGTAGACATCTCTTTTTCGAAAGTCCAGACTCCTTGGAAAGATCGGTAGTATAATCCGACCGATCGCTCTTGGCGATGAACAAGAAAAACTGCAAATGGCACGAGTCTACCTCCAAATTTCCGTCCCTCTATGCAATCTAATATCAAAACGAAGGTGGAATTTAATTTCTCCTAAAGTTTATAGTTGTGTTGAAGCATTATACTTTAGCATCAAAACTAGCTTCTTCACGAGGCATGACAGAAACATAGGAGAATTAATCACCTGAGGTCTCAAAGTTAGAAGGGCATTTCCAACTCCATCCATCAGCACCAGCCCCCCTCCTCCGTACGCGCACTGACCTTTCCTCGAGTAGTTATCGACCCGGAAGACGAGCCTCCCGCGCTGATCGAATACCGTGAACCCGTCGGTCCCTTGGAAGCTCATGCTCGACTTCTTCCACACGGTGAGCTTCGACGGGCTAATGGCGTCACCGCCGGAGTCTCCATTCCTCTCCCGGCGCAGCCGGTATTCGCACCGGTCCTCGTCAGGGTGAATCCTGCACATGACGGCTTCTCCAATGGCCACAAATCCTTGCGGAGAAAAAATAAGGAAAGTGGGGTGTGGCTCTTGAACGGGAGATTCAAGTTCCTTGTGTGAAGGTTACGTTTTATATTCGGAACTTTGGCGTCAATAGGAAGTGCTTGCACAGAGAGAGAGAAAGAGAGAGAGAGAAGGAGAGAGGCCCTTGGTTTCGGATGGTTGTATCGCTTAGTGGCTAACACTACTCAATTACGTAGGACCTTCGCTTTATTGCGCCATCAATGACCCTCTTGATTGTTTTTTAAAGACCCATCTTCATGGTTGTCCCCGAGCTGCACCAATAGGGTTCGCCGTATGCCTGTGTGATTTCACTGCCCACATTTTCTCTTTCTTTACGTACTTCAAGAACTGGCACTGGATAATGCCCTAATGACCTCGTGATTCATGTAGAAATGAGACAACTTTAATGCTCGAGTCAAAGCATAATAATCTACTCCATTAGCTCTCGAACCAGAGGAAAATTCAAATCTCCTTTTGGGGTGAGGGATAACAAGTTATAGTAAAAAAAACGAGTCAATATTCGTTTGGTTTTATATCCGGGAAAACGATACCACAAGCGGCACTCGATAACGCTCGTGAAAATAGAATTTTCTACGTATCGAACTATCTAGGAAAATTGCAATTTCCACTGACGCTGGAAGAGATCAAATTAATAAATGAAAAAGGGAGTTTCAATTAAAGAACAAAGCATGAGGGTCAATAATAAATAGGAGAGTGTCTCATCTTTGCAAGGTGAAGACGTGGGCGACTTTATACTATAAGTCTATAAAAATTCGAGACGATTTAAGTAGAGAATTTGTTCCCAGAATTAAGTGAAGTCATCATTTTGTCTTGGCTTCAAGTTCCAACATGGGCATGACTCATCTCCAACATCATAAAAGAAATTACATCAATTTCTTTTTTGGTCTTCATAAAGCCACGCTGACAATATCAAATGGAAGTAGTTCCCTTACCTCCCCGCACGTGAAAATAATTTATATTCATATCCATAATTTCAGAAAATAAATTATTTCTTCCTTTTTTCCAAAAAGAAAAGAAAAGAAAAGAAAAGCAAGTTTCTCTTTTTCTTTTCTACGTGGATGAATGGATTGGACCAAGAAGAAGCCGGCATTGTCTACGGGGAAATGCGACAAGGGATGTGGACGAGGACCTCGTTGGATCCTCTCGTTAGTCCAACAAAAAGAATGGGGCCACCGAACATCTTTTATGCATATATTCTTTTAATTTTTCTTGGGGGATTGATTAATTAATCAAATTAATTCTCATTAGGGTTTGCTTTGGTCACATCAACAACCTATCGAAAGGTTTAGTGGGGAGAATCCCAAAGTTTCTAAAAACTAAACCTCGTTCGCCTCGCTCTCTTTGGTGCACATTCCCTAGGACGACTTTCTTAGTAACTCCAAAACGGGTTATTACTTCCTTAACATTTCGAACAAACCGTCGAGAGAGGAGTTCATCTTTGTTCGTCGAACACGACGCTTCGGGAAGGATGAACTATATGGACATCGAGAATGGGATACTTCATATTCATCTAGGGCGTGTTTCTTGGCTTTCGATAATTTTCCTTTTACCCGGGTGTGATCTCTAATCTTATAATTCACACTTCCAAATTCTTAAGGTTTACTTTCTTTTTTTATATTTTCAAGAGTTACGCTACGTGATACAATGTTTCATTCCACTTCACACTGGTCAACCTATATGCCCAAAAAAAATTGGATGCTTGATAATATGGTAACATAATCTTATGTTGTAATCCAAGGGATTGTTTAGTTGACAAATAAGTAGGATTATGTCCCAATGCATCATGAAATCCCTAATTTCACGTCGGTTGATTGCATTTGACCAAACCAAAAGAACTGGACTTTGTATCTATTTAGAGCCGTGATTGAACAATAGTCATGCTTCACTACAAAGTAATGTTGCCTGTATGTGACAATATCATGGAATAGGCGGAGCATTTTAATAAACTGCTGTGAGATTAATAGTATATTTTGGATCACAAAAAATATTTAACAAAAAATTATAAATTGTTATGGGGTCCACTCCTTCAAGAATTTATGGCTCACAACATGATGTTACTGTCACATTGGCCTAAAGACTGTTATGCTAATAAAACCCTTTATTAAAATCAGTTGCAGCTATGGGAATATTGCGATTGTGGAGCATATGCCAAACATCTTATTGGCCGCAACACCCTTTATTATAACTCAACCTATTGCGAAAAGTTCATACCGAACCATCGATTTGTAAATGTCATGCAAAAGCTAACCAAAATACCATTTGATGGGGAAAAAACTCGAGAAAAATACCAAAAAAGTCTTAAACCCATTGCATTGATACCGATTTAGACCTAAACCTTTCAATTAGACCAATCTAGTTATTAACTTTTTTTACATTGATACTAGTTGAGCATCCGACCAATTTAGGTCAAAGATTGCTGACATGGACACCGGCCATCTTGCGAAATGCGACTAGCGTTGACATTGACATTTTTTCTTTTATTTCCTCCTTTTCTTTTTTTTCTTTCCTTTCTCTTTTTTCTTTTTTCCTTATTTCCCTCCACCAGTTGCCAACCTCCATGATGGCCAGTGGAGGTAGCTGGTCGTTAGTGCGGGCCGAGACATCCTCGTTGGCTAGAGGCGAGGTCGGCCCTTGCTTGTCAGCCTATAGCAAGGGGCAGCCTTGCCCAACCCTTGCCCTCGCTGGAGTCTATCAAGCCGGCCATCATGAAGGTTGACAACTAGCGAAGGGAAATAAGGAAAAAAGAAAAAAGAGAAAGGAAAGAAAAAAAAAAGAAATGAAGGAAAAGAGAAGAAAAAATCAATAAAAATTCAAAAACATATTTTAAATAAAAAAAATGTCCACATCAGCTCTAGCTATATATGTCACGTAGGACGGCCGGCATTCACGTCAGCATTTTTTGCCTAAATTGGCCGGATGAACTCAAATGGTACCAATGTGAAAAAGGTTTAGGACTAAATTGGTCCAATTAAAAGATTTAGTGATAAATCGGTACCAATGCAATAGGTTTAGTTATTTTTTGGTACTTTTCCCAAAAAAACTAGTAATTGAGAATGAAAATTTTTTGAATAAAATCTTGATGTTATTTTTTACCTAGGTGTGATCTCTAGTACTATAATTCGCACTTCTTAATTCTTAAGGTTTACTTTTTTTAAAATATTTTTAAGAGTTACGCTACGTGATACAGTGTATCATTCCACTTCACACTGGTCAACCTATTTGTCCAAAAAAAATTGGATGCTTGATGATATGGTAACATAATCTTACGTCATAATCCAAGGGATTGTTGAGTTGACAAATAAGTAGGATTATTTCCCAATATATCACGAAATCCCTAATTTCATGTTGGTTCATTGCATTTGACCAAACCAAAAGAACCGGACTTTGTATTTGTTTAGAGCTGTGACTGGACTACAGTCATGCTTAACTACAAAGTAATGTTACTTGTATGTGGCAATATCATGGAATTAGGTGGATTAGTTTAATAAACTATGTGAGATTAACAGTATGTTTTGGATTACAAAAAATTAATAATAAATAATTATAAATTGTTGTGAGGTTCACTTCTTAAAAAATTTGTGGCTCACAATATGCTGTTACTCTCATAGTGACCCAAAAATTATTATGCCAGCAAAATTGTTTATTCAAAACAGCTATACCTATGGGAATATTGTGATTATGGCGTGTATACCAAACATCTTATTGGCCGCAACACCCTTTTTTATAACTGAAATTATTGCGAAAAGTTTATACCGAACCATTGTTATGTAAATGTCATGCACAAGCTGACCCAAATACCATTTGATGGGGAAAAATCTCGATAAAAGTACCAAAAAAGTCCTAAACATATTGCATTGGTATTAATTCGGTCCTAAACTTTGTCAACTATACCAATTTAGTTCTAAACCTTTTCATATTGGTTCTAGTTGAGTCCATTCAGGCAATGTATGTCGAAATTGCTGACTTGGACATCAACCTTCTTACATAACATGGCTGGCGTTGACATGGACATTTTTTTTTAAATTTTAAATATTTTTTCAAAATTTTTATTGATTTTTTCTTTCCTTTTTTTCTTCTCTTTTCCTTTTTTCTTTTTTCTATTTTCCTTATTTCCCTTTGCTAGTCGCCAGCCTCTGTGATGGCCAGCAGAGGTCGCTGGCCGCCAGCAAGGACGAGGGCCAAGAGGCCCTCATTGACTACAAGCGAGGCCGGCCTTCGCTTGCTGGCCTCTAGCAATGGGTGGCTTTGCCCAGCCGTGACCCTTGCCTATGTCCAGCAACCTTTGCCGACCATCACGGAGGCTAGCAATTGGTGGAGGGAAATTAGGAAAAAAGAAAAAAGAGAAAGGAAAGAAGAAAAAAAGAAACGAAAAAATCAATAAAAAATTCAGAAAAAATATTCTTGTCCATGTTAGCGCCAGCTGTACCATATAGGACAGCCAACGTCCATATTAGCAATATCCGGCCTAAATTGGCCGCATGGACTCAACTGGTATCAATATGAAAAGGTTTAGGACTAAATTGGTCCAATTTTAAAAAAAATTAGGGCTGAATTGGAATCGATGCAATAGGTTTATGACTTTTTTAGTACTTTTCCCGAAAAAAACTCGGAAGTGAGGATGAAAAAATTTCCCATAAAATCTTGATGTTCTTGTGGAATCTCTCCAAAGGAACTTGTTCAAGATTAGGTGTTCATCATTCAAAGTCCTTGTGATCTTTCCCCATGAATCATGATAATAAAATTTTGTTTCTATCCCTCGTGCTAATGTGCAACTTGGTCATCACGCAGGCTAAAAAACCCTCATAGGCAAAGATTGATTGCAATAGGTCTTATCGTTCTCTTGTTCTCTAGCTCAATGTCGCGATTCAGAAACCTCGCATGAAATCTCCCACATGATCACAGCTACGAATGGTCAAATTTGATCATTTGCTGTTCAACATTTAAAAAATACTTCAGTCCACGAAATTAACAAACAACAAGTTGGTCAATCAGTGCAGTTCAATGCGAACCAGGAATGGTGCACTCGCCAAATAACTTGTTCCTACGTAAACAAGATCCGAATTGATTAGGAATAAACTTAATTAGTAAAATATGGTACGAGCAGCCAACATTTTCAACGAACTGGACACCCAATGAGGGATTAATTATTAATCAAGAGAGACCAAGAAAGAAAAAAAAGGAGTAGGTGATGTGAACATGCACACGTCCAACTTGAAAGACCTTTGGCTTCTTCTCCAACTACCATATGATGTTCTAATTTCCTAATTTGAATTTTCTAGTTATATATGGAAGAAAATCTTGGGGTGACGGTGCTGATCCTAATGTCATGTAATTAGAAAATCGAATCGGGAGATTCTTGCAATGACTAAGGAGGGTGTTTATGCATAAACTATGTGCGAAGAAAACAACTGAAGTCGATGCTCGTGAGTGGTCAGAATACATTAATGTTTGATGACATTCTTGTCTTTTGGTTTCTGTATTTCGTGGGCAAATTCGTGGAGGACGATGCGTCCGATGTCATAAGAAGATCTTTACGTGTCATGCCAGCGACACCAGCCAATTTGAAAGACAAGGATACGTCCTTTGATTGACGACTGTAATGGCGGTTGCTTATATAAAAAAGGGAAAAAAATTCCCTCTCCTATGTTAAAAAGAATGGGGGAAAGAACAATGTCTTTTGATTTCTCATTTACATTCTTTGGCATCGAGAACGAAGCTGATCTCTTTATGTCTTTCGGAAGATTCTCTAAACTGACCCTTCGAGTTGGCTTGGTCGTCGGGAAATTTCCACCTCATGAACTGGATTTTTCAAAAAAAAAAAATCGTTTTTCCTATAGAAAATAATGGAAAAAAGAAGTTAACTTTATGTCTTACGTTAAATTTGAGAATTTCTCGCTCATGAACTAGAGATTGCTCATTCAAATTCTGTCCACCACATGCACGCAGCTCTAGGTTAAGGCCACCTGCATAGATCAAAAACCTATACTTAATCGGTTCATGAAGCTTTGAGGGCATTTCATAGGACGTCTCTAGATAGCCGGATCTTCACTCCCCGTGCCCCTAGATCATAAAAAAATAGTATGAGTTGGTATTCCTTGATAGATCATACCCTACATTTCAAATTTCATTTTCATTCTAATAAGAGGCTTTTTTTAATTAAAAAAATAGAAGAGTTGGCTCATCGGCATAGAAACTTAATTGAGTCACGTAATCCTTAAACAATTGGAATGAAAAGTCACGAGATGTTACCATATATTATTTGGGGGTGAATATGGTTCCAGGGTAGAACCTGGAATCGAAGAATCGGACTAGTAAGAACTTGTTCGGTTTCAGGTTCCAAGATATGTAGGTTCCTGGTTCAAAAAATTAGGGAACCAATTTTGATAAGTAGGTTGCAAGTTCTAGATAGGTGGAACCTGAAACTTGAAACAAGTTTTTGTGTTTTTCTTTGTCTATGTCTTTGCGCGATCCTATGGTATTTTATGCCGTCCGATGATGAGTGTATAATTTGAAACCGTTAGTCTGAACTTTCATTTTATGATTGAGACTTTTACTTTGTTAATGTTCCATATCCTTCGTGTGTCTAAATATAAGTTGTGATCAATAGATTGTAGTAACAAGAGATGATCATTAAAGGTGATGATTCACTGCAATAATTCAATTAATAATACAAGTTGAACCTGGATTGACCTTGGAACCTGTGACAGGGTAAGGGTTTCAAGTTTCAAAAAATGAGGAATTTGTTCGAACGGGTAGGTTCCAATTCCATGTGCAATCTGGAACCGCTTACCCCTAATATAATTTGGGGATAAGTGTACTAAAAATACTAAAACTTGTCACAAAAGTGAAATTGAGTCCCGACACTTTTAACAAGTTCAATCAAGTCATAAAACTTGTTAAATCGGTGCAATTAAGTCCTTCTGTTAATTCCGTTCAACTTGGCTAATGAAAGACGCTGACGTGGCTTTTTTTTATATTATTTTTTCTATCCTTTGTGACGCTAACATGGCTAAAACATGAAGAACAAGATCAAAATGACGTTGTTTTGGTCCAAATCTGATTTTTAAATCTAAATATTATTGGCATATGTTTAAATTCATCAGTAGTACATTTACATCAAATTTAGATAAGAAGATAAGGAATTGGATCAAACTGAATAAATGGAAACATCATAACCTATTATATGAATTTTTTTAATTAATATTAGGAAAAAAGCCACAAAAAATTTCAAACTATGCAAATTATAACACATTTACCCTACATTTTTTTGTGATATTAAAAACCCCAAACTATGTCCACTATGACACATTTACTCTAAAGTTTTAATTAAAACCCCAAATTGTACCTATGTGACACTTTTACCCTCTATTAAAGTTTTGTTATATGATTTTTTAGCCAAAATGCCGTTGCTTTTATTTCGCATAGGTCACGTTGGCATCATGCCAACAATGTTTGCTTTATAGCATTCATGTAAGCAGATTTTTAACGGTTTTCTATGACGGAGGATAAATGTGTCACACAGGCACAAATTTAGGATTTTTGTGTCACAGAAAAAAGTTTATAGTAAATGTATCACAATGAGCATAATTTAGGGTTTTTTTGTGGCTTGTGCCCTAAATATTAATCATCCTATCTGATATAGCTTAATCTAGAACACAGAATATAGATATAGACATAAAAAAATAATATTCCTCAGCGCCATGACGTCATTGCTTAGGCAAGGGATTAGCTTGGCTGACGCAATAAATGGGAAAGAAGTAGACCACGAAGACCTAGAACAAATTGAAGCCTTCGTACGTTATTGTAGTTGCATGCGCTTCGGTCAGTCGGATCCGGGTCAAGGCTCCAGTTGAGACTGGGGCGACTCTCACGTAGGTTCGAGGTTGGTATTCCGGGTTGGATCGGACCTGTGATGTCCTACATCCACCATGGAAACATGATAGATTCGGACCATGAAACATGTTAGGACCGGGTCGGGTTTTAGCCTCCTGCCGCCGGGCCTGTAGCGTCACAGGTACATGAGATGGACAGTCTCAAAATACCGGGCTCAATTTCGGCCCACGAGATAGGTTTTTCTCGTCGCGATGATTTCGACTCCATCTCGTAATGTTTTCGCCGAACCAAATATTGATCGAATTAGCAAGACGACATCAATGGAAGGAAGCAAATAGAGGGTAGTGTACTCCCCTTCTTGTATTGCGATAACAGTACTTGGCGGAAAATTATTTTTTGAAATAGAAAGTAAATACATAGGTCTAGGTCCCATGAAATGTCAACACTTACAATAATGTAGCTATATAAGCCAATGATTTCTATGCACATTGTGTACAGCCTATATCAATTGAAAAAAAATAAATGATATAGAAATTACACGGACGTAATCACAAAGTGTCCCCCAATTTCAGTATATCCTCAACAAAAGCAAAGGCCAGGCAAAGATTTCCAACAAAGCATTTGACATCCTTCTCTAGTTCAGATTCTGAAGCAAGCACAGGAAGAGCGTATGTATACCAATGTGGTGATTGATGCTGCTAAACGGCACAGGATGTGCAGCTGCAGGACTTGGGGACGAAGGCGCACACCCCGAAGGGCTTGTTCGGGAGCTGGCAGTCGATGCTGAAGCAGCACGGCATCGTGACGCACACGGGCGTCGGTGCGACAGCCGCACAGCACTTGCACGCGAGGCAAAGCTGGAAAGGGCCCAGATGCCGCCGCCTCCCGGCCTCGTCCTCCCGGGGGAGCTCCCCGAGGACCCAGGGCTCCGACTCTACTGCCACAGGCCGGAACTCGAGATCATCGACCGCGCGGGATCCTGGCATGTCTCAAAAACATGTTAATTCTGGGGGGGGGCAGATTGAATTGAACAACAATGGAAAGCTTCCTCCTAACAAAAGAAACTGCAAGAATGATGGCTTTAATTTTATACCTGGAGTCATGAGGGAGAGAAGTAGAGCCACTAGAATGATTGCTGTGGTGCAACAGTTGTTGGGAATGGAGTTGTCCATGGATCGAGACAGAGATGAAGAGAGAGAGGAAGATGGTGTGTGGTGGGAAAGGTTGAAGGAAGGAAGGAAGGATGCAAGGAAGGAAGGGGGATTTGCAATTGCAAGGGTGGGGAAGGGAAGTGAAGTTTGGGTCAATGAGTGGATGGAATTGGAAGCAGACATTGGGGGGGTGGAATTGTTCATGCACAAATCCAAGAAGCAGAGCCAGTGATATGATAGGGACACAAGGGCACAGGCGTGGGTTCTGATTTTGGCATGACGAGACAAGGTAAGATTATGGATTTTTGCTCCATGCCCACTTTGATAGCTAAACTTGTAATAAACGGGCCCAGCGCAAAGCCCATTAATTTTGTCTCAAAGCTTCAACCGCCTGAAAATTACAAAAGAAGAAAAACGAGGGACCGACGGTATCAAAAGGGAAACGAACATAAAAAGAGAGAGACCGTGACCGTGACCGTGAGGAAAGCAAAAGAGAGAAAAATTCCCGTGTATGTGTGCCTTAGACATCCCGACAAGACGAATTAACTTCGTTTCGTAACATCCGATAAGGGTTCGAGCCCTTTGTTCATCTGGTCGGAGGAAATTTTGAAACCGAGCTGTGAACTCCGATCGATGCAGACTTTTAGTTTTGTGGGTTCATTTTAGAGTTTTTTTATTAAGCTGTAAAGTTTTATGGAAATGATAGTTTAGGATGGTATGGAGCCATAAGATTTTACAGAAGTCGATTTGGAGTTATGATTTGATCGAAACGAATTTTACAAGTTTCGCATGAGTTACACTTAGAAGACCACAGTGAATGTCCGCTATGGGCAAGTTTCTTTGTTAGCGCAGAGGAGTTGTTTTATCGCCGAATAAGCTTGATTTAATCGAGTAGTAGTTACTTGATTTTTTATATCGTTTTCCACTTAATTGATAAGATTTCGAACTCGTTGGCTTGAGATAACTTTTGTGGTTTGGTTTAGACTTTCTCAGGTGAGTGTTACCTATCTCTTCCATGAATTTGAAAACTCATGTCTTGAAAGTGTTAGGAATTCGATAGATTATAAGTTATTAAAAAGCATGTTTGTTACGTAAAATTTGGATGGGCATCTACTTCTTTTTGGTTATTTGTGAATAGATTGAGAAACGTTTTATGAAAGGTACTACAAAAGGTTGTACACATTGATTTATGAACCTTGTTAATGAAATGAATTTTGAAATGGCTTGAGAAATGATTTATAAAAATTCTGTTTGGTGAATTAATTTGTTAAATATTATATTTTTTGGTTCATGAAACCGATTTAAAAGATGGATTCTAGAATTGATTTGTGAGTTATTGGGGGATGGGTTGATGTTTGATGCTCAGTGTTGCCGGGTTTTGAGCTCATTGAAAAGTTTGTGGGTATGCAAACAAACAAATGGCCCAAACTTAGTGTTAGAGAGTCGACTAACTAGGTGCACGTGTAAATGAACTGGTCAAATGAGAACTTGCGATCTCAAGTTCGAGGGTTTAGTCATGCATGGGATGGATTGGCATCCCACGACACCCTTTCGATACCACAGCTCTATTTTTGGTTAAAGCCTAAAACATTCATCAATTTTTAGTATCAAAATCTTGAAATTTGAAATGTCGCCCGAACCCTTATACAATGAGGCAGTTTTCCTGTGTACAATGGCGTGACTCCATTTTGTGTGTAAAGGTGTACATGAAAATGTCGATCGAAATACAAAGTTCAATTACGTTGTACGAATGATATGACCTGGCAAACTATACGTAGCAAGACACGACAAATCAAATTCATTACGGGATGATGAAATGATATGGCGTGGCATTAATTACGTGTGACATAATAAGACACAACAAATATAAGGCATAACGATTAGATGACATGACAAATCATATGCAAAATATAATGGCGAGATGACAACACGCGTCATGACATGATATAACCAATACCAGATGTAATAATTCAATGACATGACATGACATGATAATAATCGCATATAGTATAACTTGACAACCATGATGCAAAACATAACGGTGATATAACATAACACGATAACAATCATATGCAGCACGACATGACAAATTGATATGACAATAATCACATGTAGTGTGAACATTTGATAATCTCGTCGTGTCATGTGGTATGATCCGCTTTATCGACATAGTTCAACACCTTTATTAAACGCGTCTCGTTTTAATTTATCGTACTCGTATTATACGCTATCCCGCCACGTCGTTGAGTCCTTCTCCGTCGCCCTTTCTCTAGTCCGTTTGGTAACAGGGATAAGAAGGTCCCGCGGTAGCAGCAATCTGGAATATCCTTATCCCCGCGAGCCAAACACGACGGTGCGCGCACGCGCGCTTCGCGAAGCCGCATGTAGTTTATTTCTCGCTCCTTCTCCACTCTTCCATAGCCATGACTCCTGGAACTCTCTTCCCAGCGCCAAGTGTAAAAGCTTGGTCCCTTGCATTCAATGGCCTCACGTCACTCCTCTCCCTTCATTCATTGCTTCCATTCCAGCACCTTCTTCTTCTTCTTCTTCGTTGGTGGAGACGAGACGAGACGAAGTTGGTCTGGTCTGCTCACGGATTCATTGATACGTGTTGTCGACTTTTGGGTTTGGTGGTTTTGAAGAGAGAGAGAGAGAGAGAGAGAGAGAGAGAGAGAGAGAGAGATGGGGAGCTCGGAGTTCTCGTGGAAGCTGCCGGATCACACGAGGCTGCCCAAGGGGAGGACCGTGGCGGTGGTGGTGCTGGATGGCTGGGGCGAAGCCGAGCCCGACCAGTATAACTGCATCCACGTCGCCGATACTCCCGCCATGGATTCTCTCAGAAAGGTTCGTCCGCCGAAAACACCCTGAACGTCTCGGTTTTGGTGCGTGTTCGCTTGCTGATGAATCTAGTCTGGTTGTTCGGCGGCGACTTCGATGCGGCGGGGTCTTTCTCTGACTCTAGCTCGTTATTGTCTGTTTCTTTTCTAATTTGATGACTGAGCTCGAGTTGGAATTTAATGGATTGTTGCATGTTTTGCCTCCGATTGGTACCACGTTTGGGATTTGTCCCAGAGAAAACAGGGGATGTTGTCATCTTGTCATATACAGGGTACACACACAAGGCAATTCAAAGAATTGCAGTGCATATGTATGTAAGAGTGGGCAAAAATGGGTGGCTGGACCTGGAACTAACTTTTCTGCTCATGTATTCCTGTGTAAAAGGGTGCTCCTGACAGGTGGAGACTGATCAAGGCTCATGGAACTGCGGTGGGGCTTCCCACGGACGATGACATGGGCAATAGCGAGGTCGGTCACAACGCCTTGGGCGCTGGGCGCATTTATGCGCAAGGGTTAGCTTCTCGTCTTGTATCAAAGCATAATTAGTGACTTCGAATTTCCAATGTTATACGAATTTGAATCGGATTTAGAAGTCTGTGACCGAAATATATGCGCTGGATTGCTGATATTAGTGTGGTTGATAACCGGCAGAAAATTAGTTTTATAACTTTAACATGAAAGTGTCTCTCTTTCGTATGATTTCAGTTGTGGGCTCGGATAGAATTTGAACACTCGTCTTAGAAAGTAGGAACCTCGCGTTGCATTACATAGCAGCGTAGAAAATTCCGATGTTAGAGAATATACTTTGCCTGAGGTTTTGGGCCAATATAACTGAAGAAAACAAGGATGTAATGTACCTCGGCCAACTTGCATGGGTAATTAGGGTTGCCACAAGTTTAGACTGAAAGGTTAAAAGTTGATTGTTCATGAGTAAACTGACTAAAAGGAACGACTTTAGTACATGTGGCCACCTTCTGTATCGTTTAGAAATAAGCATGTTAATAATTAAATCCAATCTACAAATTGGCTGAACGAGTAGATTAACAAAGAAATGTTGATTAGATTTGTTGAATCGCATAAAATTAGGATGTATTTGGCCTATTGTCATGGATTTCTAGCAATATCACTTCTCAAAACCTTGATCTTTCATGATCTAATTGATTGGAAAATTTGGATACCCTGAATTCATTGAAATGTGCTTGTCTATCTTAGCTGTATGATGTGGTGATTATGTGTATTATAAAATGGGAATTTGGATTATCGCTTGTCACGCTCTTATTTATTCTTTAATTCGTGTGCTTCTTGGCATTCAAATGTACAGCAGTTACAGCATCCTGAATCTCATCCATTCTTGATGCAGTGCAAAACTTGTTGACCTGGCTCTAGCGTCTGGAAAGATTTATGAAGGAGAAGGTTTTAAGTATATAAAGGAGTGCTTTGAGAATGGAACGTTGCACCTAATTGGGCTATTAAGTGATGGTGGTGTTCACTCTAGGCTTGATCAGTTGCAGGTTGTTCCTGTTCTTGACTTAATCTATTATCTTCTTTAGGTGTGGTCGTGGTTGTGCCAGAATAATTTACTTATTTTATCTTTCTTATGCAGTTGCTCATAAAAGGTGCTGCTGAGTATGGTGCTAAGAGAATACGAGTTCATATTCTGACTGATGGCCGTGATGTTTTGGATGGTTCGAGTGTGGGCTTTGTCGAAACTCTTGAGAATGATCTTGCAAAATTACGTGAAAAAGGAGTTGATGCACAGATTGCATCTGGTGGAGGTCGCATGTATGTGACCATGGATCGTTATGAGGTAGGTTACAAATGAACTTTAATTGGTTATACTGAGCGCAATGACTTGTCTTAAACCATCTTTATGCATGACCATAATTCTTTTTCCCAAAAGAAGATATTTTCTGGGTACCTTCTAGCTGAAGATCTGGTAGCCCATTTGAAATAGCTTCATAAACTCATCACGCTGTGGATCTTTTACAGAACGACTGGAATGTTGTTAAACGAGGATGGGATGCACAAGTTCTTGGTGAAGCTCCTCATAAGTTTAGAAGTGCTGTTGAAGCTATAAAAAAACTCAGGGCAAACCCTAATGCCAATGACCAATATCTGCCTCCTTTTGTCATTGTTGACGAGAATGGGAAGGCTGTTGGTCCTATTGTGGATGGTGATGCTGTTGTTACATTCAATTTCCGAGCAGATCGTATGGTTATGCTTGCCAAGGCACTTGAATATGAAAACTTTGATAAATTCGATCGGGTTCAATTTCCTAGAATTCATTATGCTGGAATGCTTCAGTATGATGGTGAACTGAAGCTTCCAAGCCATTACCTTGTTTCTCCACCAGAAATAGAGAGGACATCCGGTGAATATCTAGTTCACAATGGTATCGGAACATTTGCTTGCAGGTCAGCAAGCATCAATTTGCTCTTTTTAGCAATAATATTGCAGGTTATCTTTTTGTGTGTTGGGAGGGGGGGATACTGGCCAATTTGTCAACCATGGTAAAGAAATGTTTTGAACAATTAAAATAAGAAAGAAAATACTTTATTTTTCTTCACCTATGTCCATATATCTCATGCTTTCCATTTTTTTTTTTGGATTCCATTTTCTTGAAGTAACATTTTAGGGTCGAGGCATATTATCCAGTCCTTTTTTTTGTTGTTGAATATTATCCAGTCTCATTGATGATAAAAAAAGGAGTAAACCAATTCCTCCATTTGGTAATTGGTAGATTGGTTGATTGTTCTCAGTTGATGTTTTTGATTTCTTGCAATGCTAGTTTGTACCAACATTTGTTATTGTCTCATTTCTATCGTCGAGCCATACATCTGCTGATCTATTCATTTGTGTTTACCAGCGAGACTGTCAAATTTGGTCATGTCACCTTTTTCTGGAATGGCAATCGGTCTGGCTATTTTAACCCTGAATTAGAGGAGTACATTGAAATCCCAAGTGACGCAGGAATTCCATTTAACGCCTGCCCAAAGATGAAGGCAGTAGAGATTGCTGAAAAGGCAAGGGATGCCATTCTTAACAGAAAATTTGACCAGGTAATCTAATCGACCTTCTTTATGGATATTGAGAAAATAGCTGGATCTGATCCCTTTGATCGCATGCATAAGCAGGTGAGGGTGAACCTACCAAATGGTGATATGGTGGGGCATACAGGAGATATTCAGGCAACAATTGTTGGATGTAAAGCTGCTGATGAGGCTGTCAAGGTTTGGTCTCTGCAAATCTGCTATTCTTTTTGTGCCACCCCAAGATGGTGGACATGATTTCTTTGGATGCAACAGCAACTTTTGTTCTTGGTCCCATTAATTAGGTGCCGTAAAGTTAACAATGTTGAAAGTTGAAATTAATCAAGTAATTAACGTTCACAATATATCTCTTGGCCTTTCAGACAGCTCAATTCCGAGCCGGACTTTTTTCTGCTTTTGGCCTTTTCCTCCCCTTCTTTGTAGTAGTATGTGATATTTTTTTGCAGCAGCATTGCATGTTGGCACTTAAAAGGAACTCAGTCATTGTCTTTTCCCTGTCCAATAATTGTTGTTATTGTTCTCTCACGAATAATTTCGCTCGTCTGTGTGTGACTGTCTTCTAAATTGCAGATTATCCTAGATGCAGTAGAGCAGGTGGGTGGAATTTATGTTGTTACAGCAGACCATGGGAATGCTGAGGACATGGTGAAGAGGAATAAATCTGGGCAACCCCTGGTCGACAAAAATGGCAACATTCAGATTCTTACTTCTCACACCCTTCAACCTGTAAGTTTTGTTTTGTTACTTCTTTGCTGGTAGGATTTGCCTAAGACAACACAGACATTCTTATCCCAAAAGTGGGTCAGTCAACTAAATTTGGAGGATGTAGCTTTTACGTACTATAAGTTCTATTCGTATTAATTTTGGTCCAAGTATTCAAATCTAGATTGGGTCTGGGCAGTCATAACTTCACGCGGAATTGTTTGGGCAACTTGGATGTAAGAGGGGAAAATGAAAAGTATATGCTACAATCAGCCTGGCAAATTTTGTTTCAGCACTGTGAGATTAATGATCACGTCGGAATACTGGCACACTAACAAAAGCAAATGCATGGTTGGATCAAAATGGCCTCTCCTAGGAGGATGAACCTTGAGACACTGAAAATGATTTGGTTTTTGGCTTCTCATTTGCGAAATTCAGCATATGGTGGTGGAACCATTTGTATGCGGTTCTGCATTTGGAGGTTCTTTTGTGGAAAGAGAATTAGGTGGTCAGAGTCGATTTTGGTGATTGGTAAGCCAGGTGTGATCTTGAAACCGATCATTTCGAATATTCCGTGGATCTAAGCGAGTCTCGACACTCTATCTTCTGTAATTAACTATTGTTATTGCTCAGTGTCCAAAAAGTTCACTGCAGGAATGTCCAATATTTCCGTGTACCTATGTGTGATCTTGAGCTCATTTTGAGGCTGACTTTAGAGTTCCTTGGCACTAGGTGCCAATCGCGATTGGAGGGCCAGGACTGGCGCCAGGTGTCAGGTTCCGCCGGGATATGGCTGAAGCCGGGCTCGCCAATGTTGCTGCCACCGTGATTAATCTCCATGGATTCGAGGCTCCCAGCGATTACGAGCCCACCCTCATCGAAATTGTCGAGTGACTCGGAGCCTGCCAAAACTCAAATCACAGAGCTAATATGCAGAGTTTTGTATGTAAGTAGTCTGTTCATGGTGAAATAAGCTCTTCCTTCTGGTGCTCCCTCCCAAGTATAGGGAACTCTTTTGGAGCCTAAGCAGCACCTACTGTTCAGCCTCCGTTGGCCAAGTTAGCAAGTTAATAGCAATTAATGAATTAATAACGGCTGATTAATGCCGGTCCTATAAGATAAATGAACAGATGTCTGGGCATCTCCTTCCATCTCATGGATCTTAGATTTAACTTATTGAGAAAAGTCCAATTCATTCTTGTAAGTACGTGTACATATCATGGGTAACTAATGAAAAATTAATGGATGGTGGATATGTTGTCATGTCGTGTTTCGACCGCGTCATTAGAAGGACATAGTTCTCTTATCTTAGTTATGATTTTGATATTTGGACTAAAGTCTTACGTACAAGCAAGTAATGCTACATGCTGTCTTCCATGGATTGGGTTTTGAGAAGTGATTTTGTTCTTCTCTTTCGAGCAAAAGACTTTTAGACATTTTTTTTGAGAAGATGCATAGAGACTTGAGGTAAAATGCCGGACAACAATGATGGATAGTGATTTTTCATTGACTGATTAAGTTTTTGTCTTTTCAATCGGGAATTGATAGAGAAAGTAAATATTTGATTAATACAAAATATGAACCGAACTAAATAAGCCAAGTTGAAGACTCGGTCCATCAAAAATAAAATATAGGTGGTTAGTTTAAACAGCAAAATCTTCTTTTTAATCGGTTTTAGCCCTTTTTCATAAAAAGAAAGTATTTGACACTAGGGAGAGTAGGTTTGGCAAGCAGAAACTCCATGTTGCCGATATTCTAAAACAGATTCAATGGCAAAATTGTCCAAAATTTTTTAAAATTTCATTACTTTTTTGTCAATTCAATCGTAAATCTTTTAAACATGTGAATTGTGAACTGAGTTATAAATTTTTTCACTTGATGACTGTTTATATATATATATATATTTAATGTTGAGATTGTATTTGACATAGGTATTTTTCCAAAAGGAAGGACCATTCTAATAGTAATATCTATAACTAGGGTTGAATAAGGTGTCCCATAGTGCCGTGTTATCCGCGCGTTGACCCTGGAGATGTGCATACGTCCACGGCAGGTCAATCGTTCACGACATGAGCCATACTTACGTATGAACAAAGTGCGTGAACGATTGAAACAAAAGCATCCATCCATCACGATCAAAGTCGAGTCATGTTGAAGTTAACACGCACTACGTTGTAATTCGTCGAATCCATCTTGTCATCACAAGTCTTATCTTTCTCGCCCCTTGTTTGCCTCCTGCGACAGCAACACGGGACTCAAATTTCATGCACCAATCTAAAGTTCATGTTCATCCTACGAAATTTGAAATACCCTTTTGTTTTAATGAGTAACCCGATTGGACAAAATTTTCCATGATCGCTTTGGAAGTCGACTTTTTGACACAAATCCATCTAACTGCTCGCACCTTATGGTAATTTCTTTGCAAAAGTATCGTGATGGATGGATTTGTAAAATTATTAGTCAATGGTCCTTTGTTTCTACATTATTGCGCTTGAATGTCACGATGAAATCCTTTACTTTTGTAATCCAAAGAATTTCAGTAAGGAGGAAAAAAAAAACGGTTTTAGAGAGACCGTACAATCACCCTGCTAAATTTGTGGGTCTGAAAGGGAAAAAAGGCATCATAGGAAACTTTTCATAAAGTATATGCTTTTCTTTTTGTCTGAGTTGGTGCTTCTTGTCAGAATTATGGACGAAGATGTTAACATGGCTATTAAGTCTCCGTTAAATAATGTCGTGGTGTCCCACTTGACATTTAAAAAAAATATAAAGTGATTTGCAAATGATGAATATTAAAAAAAACAAATTAAATATTTTAAATAAATTATACAAAGGAAACTTGGAAAGATAAAATATCAAACCGGGTAGCCCGACTCGTGCGAGATTCAACCTTTGGCCTATGACATCCTCTAGGCATCATGAGGGGTTACCCGATCCTTGACGACACCTGGCTAGGTTGTGCGAACCAATGACTGCTGGTAAAGGCTCGGCAGCCCCTATTGGCCAACCCCTTATCGGTGCGTTGTCGTCGCCATCGCTTCCTCTCTTTCTTTTTCTCTTTCTCTAAGTGTTTGATTTTTTTTTTTCGATTTTTTCAAAATTTAATCTTGTCCACACCTAAAAATTACATGTAAGCATCAATTTATCGAATCGTTACTGACTAGGAGCATCAAAAGACCTGACCAAACCGAAAATTTCAGGTCTTTTCCAATTCGAGTTATAAGTAAAGGAATTTGGGTAGTTTGATGGTTCACTTCAGGTCAACTTTCGTTTTTTTTTCTTGTTCTTCTTCTTCGTCTTTCCTTCGCTTCACTGCAATAAGTCTAGAAAAATGTCAATAGGAACTCGCTCGCCCGAGTTTGACGAGTCAAAATGGAGGAATGGATCTCACCCGCAGAATTGCCCACTCCGGCCGGCGGCAAAGCGGCAACAAGGCATGACCGAAGAATTCCGCTCTTCCCTACCCCTTGCGAGCTCTCGAGAAGTAACATCGGCCAGTGCTACCTCCCCCAAATCAAGTTCCTGTCCTCGCCCACGGTCCTAATCGACTTTGGGTTAGCGAAGCAGAGGCGGTTGCTCCGATAGCTCTCCCGCCGGAGCTTCCAAAGCTAAGGGACGGTGGAGAAGGCAGCGGCCTGTGATAGCACTCACCATTCCATTATTCCATAGGGGAGAGAGCGATAGAGAGTGCACTATCGGAGGCTCGTGCAAGGCAGAGGATGCAAAGAAAAGAAGAAGAAGCCAAAAAAAGAGAGAGGAGGAAACCAGAAACCCGGCTGGAACTGAACCGAATCGAATCGTGTTTTAGGTTCGGGTCAAAACATTCACACATCCGACACAATTTGGTTAGGGTATTATGGAAATCGAATAATTGACACCCCTAATATTGACGTGATGCTTACATATCAGTTAATATTAGCATTTCTGTTTTTATTTTAACAAGAAAATCAACTTCAAAAATATATATATATACACACACTATAAGAATCTAATTGTACAAAAAGAAAATTAGTTTAGAAATATGATTGGACAATTTGAAAAGGTTGAGAGACCTCCTTATTGTCTTTTTGTACATTCTGAAACGTGAAATCCGAACCATGCGACCGCTGTCCATCACCGCCGGCTAGCTATAATGCTGTCGTGAGGAAGACGATTCAACTGAAAACTCTTCCTTCCACACGCCCATATGATCATGCCCCCGTCTTGTCTTGTCTTGTCTTTACTTCCTCAGTCAAAGTCGGTGCTGTTCACACGCCGCAATCCAACTCTCCCTCTCTCCCATGGCATACACTTCCATAGCGTCTCTCTCTCTTCCTGCACTTGCACTTCGCTTCCTTCTCTGCCCACTTTTCCATCGCGTCATTTTCTCGGGAAAACGGAAAAAGACCAGAGAGCGGAAGGAGAGAACATTATCGGACGCAACCTCCTCCTCCTCCTCCTTCTCCTCCTCCTCCTCGCGTGCTGTTATCATTATCAAGATTCGACTCAATACTGATCAAAACGCCACCACAGAAAGGCCGAAAGGGTCACGCTCAAATTTGACTCACAAACTTGATTCGACGTCGCGGGAACCGCCCAAACGAAGCCATAAAAACGCAGGAACATCTGCATTTCGCTGGTCGCGATCATCCTCCTCGTCGTGGTGCTGCTCGTGATCCTGGCCTTCACCGTGTTCAAGGCGAAGAACCCCGTGACCAAAGTGAACTCGGTGAAGCTCGAGAACCTACGGGTGTCGTTGCACTCCGCCCCGCTTGGTGTCGACCTGAACGTAACCCTAGACCTCGACCTGTTAGTGAAGAACCCCAACAAGGTCGGCTTCAAGTACAAGAACAGCACCGCTCCGTTATAGTACAAGGGAGAGGTCGTCGGGGAGGTCCCAATCCCCGCAGATGAGATATCGGCAGATGAGACGAAGCGGATGACCCTGACGCTCACTGTACTGGCGAACCGTTTCCTGTTGAACTCGCACACGTACTCGGACTACCTGTCCAGGGTCTTGCCGCTCAACACGTACACGAAGATGTCCGATAAGCTGATCATCATGGGATTGTTTAAGGTCCATGTGGTTTCCACGACTTCCTGCGATTTAAGTGTGTTTGTGTCCAGTAATCAACAGTGTAGGTATAAGACCAAGTTCAAGTCGTAGCTGATCGATGTCTATGTTGGTTGCTTCTAGGATTTTATGGTGCACATCTGTTTCTTTGCCCTTTTTACCCTTTCTTCGAGTGGATATTTGTTGGGATAAATAAGTGAAGTTATGAGATCATAGTCGAGAATGGTATAAAGAATTTTGTACAAATTCCAGATTCGAATTTAATTGTTGTTTCGCAATCCATGTCTCACTAGTCTAGCCTCCGGGTATATCAATGTCGTGCACGATGTTAAAAGCCACTAAGTCTTCGCTCAGATGTTGATGTGATGTCTTACGTGACATTTGAAAAAATAATAGATGATATAGAAATGGTGAATATTAAGAAACAAAATAATTATTAAAAGCTAGAACAAAGGGAACTTGAAATATAAAAATCAGACTCGGGTCGCGCGACTCTGACCTTGGGTTCGTGACCCCCTCCAAGCATCGATGCCTGTCGACGCCTAATTGGGTCATGCGAACCTAGCAACGGCCAGCAAGGGCTCGGTGTGTTGTCATTGTTGGCATTGCCTTCGGCCGCCTCTTCTCATGTCTCCTCTCTTTCTTTCTCTATTGTAGTGTTTGATTTTGAAAAAAAACAATTCAAAAAGTATCTAGTCAACAAAACATGTGAAAAATAACATTACATTTTCCACTATAGGAAAGAATTGTCTTTTTTCGTCACTATTCGCGATATAATTTTTATACGAACCGTGAAAGATATCATTAGAGTGTATTTTTTCTATAATATACTAGAAAACAAAAAATGTGAAAAGCTTAATCACGGTGACGAGATCTTGAATAGAAAAGGAATGGGTTAATACAACGAAAAACCCCAAACCGGTACATCTGTGATAAATTTATCCCGAACTAATTTTTTTGACTACTAAAAACTCCAAACCGGTATACTTGTGACAAATTTATCCTCCGTTAAATTGGATTAATACCACGAAAAATTATAAATTGCTAAATCTTTGACAATAACAGGGATAAAACCCTAAACTGGTATACTCGTTAACTGTCACGTGTCATCCAACTAAGTAATTTGACGATAAAATTTAACGGAAACTAATAAAAGGTAAATTTACCATATGTATACTAGTTTGAAGATGGTCTGTTATCTTCTTCGTCATCATGGAGGCTTGTACAAACGGAACATTGATAATCTAGATCTCATAAACGTATTAGTTTGGAATTTTTCGTGATATTATCGCAAAAAGAAATGATGATTTTGACTCTGTCGCCGGCCATTACATCAACGTGAGGAAGATGTGCAACAACCTCACTCTTCCCTTCCACATGCCGTCTTTATTTACCACAGCGAAAGTCGGTACTGTTTCACACACGGCAAACTCCAGCTCTCTTCCTCTCTCTCTCTCTCTCTCTCTCTCTCTCACATGGCGCATCGGCCATGGATTTCGATTTGGACCTCCCAACCACACGCCTTATTTAATGGCCGCCCTCCCTCCCTCTCTAATCTTCCTGCGCTTCGCTTCCTTCCTTTCTCTTTCTACTTACTTTTCCCGCCGGGCCACGCTTTCTCGGGAAAAAGAAAAGGATCAGTGATTGGGAGAGAGAGAGAGAAAGTATCCAACGCCAACCCAACCCCCCCCTCACGTGGTGGCATCGCATTCGACTCCTCTCTCTTCCTTCCTGCCTCGAACGCCACCGTATGAAGGAAAAGGCAAAAGGGTCGCGCTCAAATCGACTCCGCTCGAGCTTGTTGTCATCAATTTCGCTTCTTTGACTCCATTAGTGAGAAACCCAGAATTTCTCCTGAGCTTTTCTCTTCTGGGTCTTCGACGACCCCTATGACGCGCTTCGAATTTAAAGCGCTCCCTCTCTAACTCCCAACTGCTTTTTTAGCCTCTGCCTAATTGCACCTCCCCTACTCTAGGGACCCCTTTATCTATCTCGCTTTGACACGCCAGTTTGATTCTCCTCTCGGGTCGTTTTGGACGTTTGAAGTGAAGATTGATTGGTTTCGAAGCTGCCCCCATGGACGTGGAATCTGCACCGAAGCCCGGGAAGCCGCGGGGACCGGCCAAACGAGGCCACGGATGCAGGAACATCTGCATTGCGCTGGTGGCGACCCTCGTCCTCGTTGTGGTGCTGATCGTGATCCTGGCCTTCACCGTGTTCAAGGCGAAGCACCCCGTGACCACCGTGAACTCGGCGAAGCTCGAGAAACTGCAGGTGTCGCTCAACGTCGCCCCTCTCGGGCTTGACCTGAATGTAACCCTAGACCTCGACATCTCGGTGAAGAACCCCAACAAGGTCGGCTTCAAGTACAAGAACAGCACCACCGTGTTGAATTACAGGGGGGAGCCCGTCGGGGAGGTCCCGCTCCCCGCGGACGAGATAGGGGCGGACCGGACGAAGCAGATGAACCTGACGCTCACCGTGATGGCGAACCGGTTCCTGTCGAACTCGCAGGCGTACTCGGACTTTTTGTCCGGGGTCTTGCCGCTCAACACGTACACGAAGATGTCTGGTAAGGTGACCATCATGGGATTGTTTAAGGTCCATGTGGTTTCCACGACTTCCTGCGATTTGAGTGTGTTTGTGTCCAATAGAACTGTGGGGGATCAACGGTGTAGGTATAAGACCAAGTTGTAGTTGATTGATGTCTATGTTGGCTGCTTCTACGATTTTATGGTGCACACGGGTCTCTGTTTCCTTGGCCTCTTTACACTTTTTTTTCCGGGGGGATATTTGTTGGGATAAATAAGTTATGAGCTCATAGTTTGAGAATGGTATAGAGATTTTGTGCAGATTCTAGATTCGAATTTAGTTGTTGTTGTTTTGCAATCCATGTCTCACTTGCCTACAGTTATATCAATGACATACAGGATGTTTTGGCATTATCTGCCATGTTAAAAGTTGCTTGATTTATCAGATGTACTCGAATGCAGACATGCAATTGCATTTGCAATGCACTGTTTTTGGCTTATATGGACAATGAAGGACACAAACAATATACTGGATACACTTGTCCTTTTAAGTGCTTCAACAGGACAATTTGTCAAATTATGTTCTCACTGCTTAGCAGTTAAAGAAACGAATTTTAGAACTCAAGACGATTGCATCAAATTGTTTTATATACGTTACCGAAGGTAACTTCGAGTGAGCTGCTATGTCCTATTGTTCTACCTGAAGATAACTTCAAGCGCTTAATTTGGCTATTACACCAATTAGCATGGAAGGGCATGTTTTTGTGTTATGTCCCTGAATTGCTGATATACTATATATGTCGTCTCATTAATGACTGATAAAAGAAAGTTTTTTGATGTGTGACCAAGTTTCGCTTTTTCATATCTTGGACTGAACTGAAAATTTAACTTCTGATGTCACGGAATTTATAAAGAATTTACATCGTGTTTGTGCATCTTTAAGATGTCAGTTCATGTGATGTAAATCATTCTGTTATTGGTCAGTTATGTCCAAGTTGTTCTAACGGCGGAAAATGCTAGGTGCCAAAGTATACTTGTATTCTTTAAGGCGAAGAAGAAATAAATATGAAAGTTCTTAACAGGTGAAGAGATTGAAATTAACAGGAAACAAGGTGAAACTGACTTATTTTATAGAGTGCAAAGCGATGAGACCGGGGTGATAATCTATGAACATGTCCTAGATTGAAACTTGCAGCTCTGTCCAGCTAGACCATGAAAATATATGTATTCAAGTGTTTGACATTAAATGCTTATTTTGTCAGTCAAAGGTGTTGTTAAACCATGAATCTTTTTTGTTATTCCATTGATTGCTGTCAACAGTTTTTTAAAGGAGTTGACACCTCACAAGCACAAGCTTTATTCTTACGTATCTTACTAGTTTCATTCCTAAAACCAATAAAACAAATATAGTTCATTGACTAGTTGCTATAGCAGGGCATTGTCACAGTTGACATCCCACATCAATAAGCATCCCTTTTAATCTTGAACTTGATTCTTATATTTGGCATCCCACTTTGATAAGCACCTCTTATATTGAGCTTTTCTAGCAAAAGAGCTCATCATTGTTTTGGCTTCATCTTCGTGAATCGACAGTGCTCTGGTGGGATTTGATGAAATTTAGGCACTCTATTTTTCACAGCATGTTTTTAGTCAAAGTAGCTGTTGCCATATTTCTTTGCCTTTGTTGGGTTATGGAACTTAGGATCTAGATGCCATTTCTCAGTTGTCTTGGTTGGTATCTGCTGGTATATATGATCTGTCCTTGCTGCAAAGAATTGCAAGTTTGCGCATTGCCTGCGTGATAAGAAGTAAGAACCTCCTGCAAGCTCTTGGAGGAAGTAGAATTTTATCTCTGAACCAGTAGTTGATGTAGAAGATGACTGAGTTTTTTGTGTTGGTCATTACCATTTTGTTTTTTGGTTGGCCCTATTTTTGCATTAAACTCGATCTAGAGTCCTATCTGGCGAGTGACTTTGCATGTTTGATTGATCCTGGGATGTCTTGATTGCGGAATGTATACACTTGTTGGACTTGTTGTTGGCTCTATAGAATGCCCAGTGAAATTTTTCTTGTCCATGTAAAGGTGATCTACACATATCCAGTTACTGAAGAGTGTGCAGCACTAGTAAATTTTAACGCCGTTCAAAATGTGCATATAAAATGGTTTCTTGTCTTAATGGAGCACTACTTCCCCTAAAAGAACGGCTTGGTAAATCTAAAGTTATCGTGCATGTCAAACTCCAGTAGAATTCGAGTCCTTGTGAATCGTACAGGTGGTAAAGAAAACAACTATGCGTCAATGAAATTTAACTAGATCAAAGTACAAACAAATGGTTTTGCACGCAACTTCTATAGGTCCCGTGTTTGCTTATAATGGTGTTGTGGGCTTTTGCTAAGTTTCTCCAGCAAATTCGGGCATCTGTCTATTGCCTTCGTAGCAAGTAATTTTGAAAGCCAAGGGCTATTTGTTAGATGATGATTGTAGTTTTTCTTATTACAGAAAAAGTGTGAATGCTGCAACTTAGAAACAGCTTTTAGGATGATGTATTTTTTTTCTCCCTGACTGCTCGCCAAGACAGCTTTTAGGATGATTCAGTTGTCCGGTCCTGCTCTGTCTTGCCTGTCCTGTCTTACTATAACGAAGCCAGCATAAGCACCATCAAGTGAAGGGGACGCATGACCAAGATAAACTCTGAAGTTGCTTGTTTAGTGCCATTCGTTGATGATTATCAGAAACTCACTGGAAATCAAGTTTGACAGCAGTACTTGCATGGTGAGTACTGCTTATAAAGCGTTAATGGGCAAGCCTAAGAATGAGAGAGTGACTGTGCTGATCATGGGAGAAATTTTTCATGTGATTGAGTCCAAAGTCTATTACGAATAGGATGAATACGTGCAGATTCTGATGAAGACATTGCACTGCGTGTGATAAAGGCTCCGATTCGTCTTCCATCTTATTCTTCCAGAAATTTCGTTTTTAGGCATCATGAGAGCTAGTCGAACTCCGCTCGTGTAGTGTCAAGTCTCCCTGTTTGCAGACAAGCCCGTGACCTCCTTGATGGATTGCCTTTCATTTTGCTTCTATATAAGCTCACTTGACTAGCTCCCTTTGTCGGCCTTGATCCACTGACTTTAGTCAAGCTCAAACAATTACTCAAATCACAGAGTGCTTTGTGGGATATCAATGAGGCCGTGTTTGAATATTAAATTGTAAGAGGGATAAATCATTAGATCCACCGCCAGGTTAACGAAATTTTTACTCATTATTGGATGATGAAACATCTACATTTTGTCAATATCAAACTGCGCTTTTGTGAGAGCGTTGAATTATCAAGCTACGCTTCCCCGATCATACATGTAAGGGCTATGGCTACGTCCATCTCTTTGCTGTCACCTACTTCCATAGCCCACGGCCATCGACAAGCAACCTATTGCCGGGTCTATTTTGTATTCCTGAAACATGTTTCTCATACATACAGAGCATGTTATGTAACAGTTGGTAGGTGTGATCCAGTGCATTAAAAGTTTCAACCTCCCACCGCTCCATGAAAACCTCTCTTCATGCGTATGCATGTGCATTGTCCCTTGTCATTCTCTTTATATCTCCTTCATCTCTCTGCCTCAGGTTGTTTTCTGTTGTCGTTTCAACTCCCAACCTCTCGCTCTCTCTCTCTCTCTCTCTCGCGAGCGACGAACACTTATGAATGAGCCATGAACACTGAAAAGAACGACCAAGCTTTCGCCGCCGAAGGCCAAAACTCCATCAGAGGACGACGTTGCCTCGTATTCCTCCTCACAGCGCCTCTCCTCCTCCTCTTCCTCCTCTCCGTCATCTCTCTCGTGCTCTCCCTCACCCTTCTCAAGCCGAGAGACCCCACGACCCGCCTCGTCTCTGCCACCCTCAATGGCATCTCCCCGCAAGTCACCTTATTTCCTGTCCTCAAGGTCGAGCTCAATGTCACCCTCAACCTCATCCTCCTCGTCCACAACCGCAACCACTTCGGCTTCAGGCATGGGCCCGGCAAGAGCATCATCTTGTACAGAGGCGGACAAGTCAGTGAGGCGGACCTGCTTTCAGGGGAGATCCCCGCAAGGAAGTCGGCAGAGATGCCGTGCAGGCTGATGCTGGAGGTGGACAGAGTGGTGGCGGAGGATGTGGCACCGCTGGTGAGGGATGTTTTGGGTGGGGAAGTCGTGGTCGAGAGCAGGACGAGGATCCCGGGGAGGGTGAGGCTATGGAACGTGTTGCAGAGGCAAGTGGTGGCAACGTCAGAGTGCCGGTACACGATTGGAGTGCCGGCAATGACTATTCTGAGCCAGGATTGCAAGTACGAGACCAAGTTTTGACTTTGTAAGAGCAAGAGTTCTTGTCTGAACGGATTAGTATATACCTCAGGCAAGAGGTTCATTCGAACGTGAGACGCTAAAAGACCATGTAGTCAAATTTAACATACTTCCAATGTGTCACTTATTGCGATTCCCTAAGAAATAGAGGATCCTCATCTGTAAAATCCGTCAAGTTATCATGCATCATACAAATTAAATACATATCAAAACGGAAGGACCTAAGCTGGATAGTCACTTAAATGCACATTTAAACACAGTTCCTACACAATTTCGACAAGATCGATTTTGTCCACCGTATCATCTACAGACTATAATGAGTCATACGCATCGTATCTCATTGTGTTTGGTTTCATACGTCATGTCGGCAGTTTTACAATAAAAGATTAGGAATAGCATGTTAGCTCTTCTGTCCCACATTCGAACTGCTTCCTGAAGCAAAACCTGACCTTTTAGAACTAGTCACTGCTCTTGACATTAGAAACAGAGGGGGCTTTCAACAGAGTCCAGAGGGGAGGCACATGCCATTGTTCATTATCCATTTAGTAATATGGAACCCGTAACTTCTGCAAAGTCACACAATTTCGCTAACCAAACAAGACGCTTTTCCAAAGCAATATCCATGCGGAAAGCTCTATACCCAATTAAATAATAACACGACAACATTAAAAGCTGGTAAATTTGGGTATGATATCAATTCATCCACTGGCGATCAGCAACAATGGGCACTTTTTTTTTCCAGACTAAAATGCTTATAATGATGGTCGCTGAAGAAAGATTACACCGCAATATACTTCAATGAAAAAGGCAAGTTTGCCAGAATGCAATGCCAAGAACACGAGTTAACTGTACAAGTTAAGCAGCATAAGCATGGTGGGCAAAGAGTAACACAGACTTGTTATTTGATTTCGACATATTCCTAGAACAAAAAGCTACTGGAAAAGCTAACAGATTAGAGTTTATAAATCAGCACATTTACTTGATAAAGTCAGTACCACTGTTAAGTCGAGCCTGCGTGAGCCGGATGGTGATCAAAACAGAAGCTTTCTGCACGTGCCCAAACTGGTATTCCTCGACACCATTGAAGACTTCATGGGAGCGCCGGGGCATGTCTCAGCAACGCCATTCAAAAGGGGCAGCGAATGAGGAGTCTTGCATTTAGAGAAATCCCAGTCTGAAATGCTAGCGGAAACTTCTTCCATCCGATTCGCGATAACAACTTCCAAGATAATATTGTACACCGAATCAACAATCTCTTTGTCGGATGGAGCGCTCGAACAGTTCATGTCAATTCGATCTTCCGAGCTACTAGCAAAGCCCCCGAATTTGAGGCGGCGCGCGACGCTGCTTTTCCATTCATCAAGGCGCTTATCGCATCGGGGTGCCAGCAACAAATCTTCCGGACCAGGTGCAAACGGGTCAAAGACGCTGTGTTTAGGCGTGTGAGGGCTACTGGTCTGATCGACACGAGCAAGCGCTTGATCATCGTTTTCCCTCGAGGAATCGAGGACATCTACTTCCAACATCATCTCCGGCAGAGTGAGGGGGGATTTGAGGCTCACAAAAGTGTCCCCATCCTCTCTGTCCGTATCGGGAGTATTCGGCCCAAGATTATCTCGATCTTCCTCGCCGATGGCAGCAATTTGCTCCAAGATCTGCTTCTTAGCATCGATAACTCTTAAAAGATGGAACCTTTTCACAGGCTCTGCACACGTGAAGTCTCCACAGTCCCCAGCTAAATCCGCAGTTCCTCCAGAACCCATATAAACCCCAGAACGGAAGTAAACAATCGCTGCTAAAAGCACAAAAACAAAGGGTCGCATTAGCTCAACACCCAAAGCGCTCTAGTCCTGGAACACCAACACACAGAAACCCACAAATTGCTTCCGCCGGTACGAAAACCCTAGTCCTCTCCTTCCCCCGTAAAAGAATCGATCGCGACAGAGACACCCACCAAATTCAAAAAATGCAAGAAAACAGTTCTCGCAAGAAACCATCGACCCGCAACGAGAAAAATCGAACCCCGCGAGCAAAAAGAGGAACTTTTCGGAACTGGGTATCAAAGGTCGAAGCTTCGCGAACCCAAAACAAACCAGAGAAAACGACAAGTAATCCCCACGGATGTAGCAAAACGAGGAGACACAAATTTAAGGAAGACGCACCTCGTTCTCTCGCAGGAACTCGACCGGGACCGAGAGGGTTCGTGGGGGATCGTCTTCTTGGAGTTCTTGTGGGAGTTTCGAAGCAGTGGAGCGGCGAGTGGCGAACCCGACGACGGCCAGCCAAGTGAGACAAAAGAGGTCGAAACCGGAAGAGGGCCGCTTTCCTCCTGCTCTGTCGTTTCAGCAGCAGTAGGGAGGGAGGAGGAGAAAACGGACACGGCGTGCCTTCCTGGTCGCTCGCGCCTCATCCGCCGTCGGATCCCGAATTCCCCTCGGACCGATTGACGGTGGCGATGATGACGACGACCGAGAGGAGGGAGGGGGGTCCCACCATTTCCAGAGATTTCGCACGCTGCAGCCACAAAGACCTTCGACGCGTTCCTTGGCTTTATTTTCTGCCGGGTTCGGAGAAATTTCAGAAATCGCGTCTTCCTCTTTTGGGTTCTCGGAAAGATCGGATGACGGTGATGCGTTGCCGATGACTCGTTGCTTATTCGGACCGAAAGCTTCCGTGGTCCGCGCCACGCCATCGAATAACGAGTGGCGTGCTAAACGGAAAGATTGTGAAATTGCGATTAAGTAACCATCCGACGTCTACTCGGGATGAGCATAGTTTCAGGGTGGTTACGGAAATTGGAGAACCGGTGGGGTGAGGTATACAAGGTAGGTTTCAGATTTCAGAAATTGGAGGACCAGCTTCGACATGTAGGAAGTGGAACCTGGAACTTGGAACAAGGTTTTGTATTTTTATTGTTTTATGTTTTCGCCCAATTACGCGGTATTTCATGGCGTCTGTGTGTATTGTAGAGCTACTGGTTCGAGATTTCATTTCTGGCGATATCCATGATTGAAGCTTTTACTTTATTAATATTTTCATATTCCTTGTATATCTAAATATGAGTTGTGATCAGTAGATTATAACGGCAAATGTTAATCACTAGAGGTGGTGATTTACGGCAGTTATTCAATAATAAGTACACGTGGAACTTGAGTAGATCCTGAAAATTGTAATAGCGTAGGTTTCACATTTCAAAATATGTGGAGTAGGTTCCGGATTTCAAAAATTTGGAAACCAGTTCCGACGGATAGGTTTCATGCTCCAGGTGGAACATAGACCGATTTTGGAACCACTCTCTCTTAATATCCAATTCTGAATTTCGAGTGAACATAGTAAATATCAGACTCGATCATGAGCCCAGCGCCCCGCTTAGACCCATGAGGACATAGAGACTTTTTTCGAGTAGGCTTGAATAAAGGCGTTTCGCGAGAAAGCCCGGCTGGACTCGATTAGGCCCGAGCGAAAGTGGCCCCCGGGTTCGAAGATCCGTGTGCGCGAATTTTATCATGACGAGCTCGGGAAAGTTTAGTATTGACCTTAAGATCCGGTCCGAGCCCGCTCAATGATCAACTATATAATAGCGGATAACTTAAATTAAACAGCCTACGGAAGGCGTGGGCCTCCCTATACTAGAGGTGCTGAGAGAAAGCAGCTGCGGTTTGTCACGCCTCGTCGCTTTTGCACATGAAATTACAGTGATTTCTCTCCTTTCCTAGATGGCATCATCATTGTCCTCACTTTCAAAAGGGCAACAAAGCCAACGCTTACGACGGTTCTTGTTGGGCCCGCCCCCACCACCACTCGAACATCTTTCCTTACGATTTTGCAGAAGTCCTTCGCCTTCACGTCTTCGGTTTTTTTCTCCTTTCACATTACCCCCAACTTTCTTGTTCTCCCGTACATGAGACGAGCCCACGTTTGCACGACACGCCCCGTTCAGTTAACGTCCCGAATTGACGGGAGTCGACAACTTGGGCGGACGACCACGCTTCGAAAACGGGATTCTCTTTAATTGCGCGCCTAGGCAATGGTCAGTCAAATGGAGGGAGCTTGATTGGGTCAACGAGCCGCGGCCGTGGAACGTTGGCTAACTCATATCAAAGGGAGAGATATTTGGGCGTACGTTCGTACCCGATGGGAATCGGAATAAGGAGAATTTGAAGCGATCGAATCTTTGTCGAGATAACCCTTCTAGCATTCAAAACAAATTTGCATCGAATGCTACACAATAGCGGCGGGAAATCCTTTAGCGCTCGCAGTGAGTCCAAATCCACGTGCGCGCTAGATCGAGCGAGAGTCCACATGGGTCCCGATCGCGTCTAGGATCATCGGGGCCCCCACGGATCGACATCCGAATCGAACTTTCGGAGAGGAAGAAAGAAAGGGGAGCCCCAACACGACGACTTAAAGCGGAGGAGAAACGACAGCGAAAAGCGAGTTTGCCTTTGTGGTTCCAGGAAATGAAGAAGAGAGGAGGAAGGGTCAAACGCGCGGTAGTCGTTCCGCGCACATGCCCATAAAAGCGATCATGCACAGAGAGAAAAGAATCCCATCGTCCATACGCCATCGTTCTCCCCCTCTGAAGAAAACCGAGCCCCGAACATGGAGGTTGCTGCTCCGGCGACTCGGACCAACGGCTCCTCGCCTTCCCGCCGCCCGGCGCTCGGCGCCAAGTCGGCCTCCTTCCGCCTCCACTCCCCGAGCCTCAACTCCCTCCGCCTCCGCCGCATCTTCGACCTCTTCGACAAGAACGGCGACGGCCTCATCACCCCGAAGGAGCTCTCCCAGGCCCTCGCCCTCCTCGGCCTCGACGCCGACCTCTCCGACCTCGAGTCCATCCTCCGCGCCCACATCAAGCCCGGGAGCGACGGCCTCCGGTTCGAGGACTTCGTCGCCCTGCACCAGTCCATCGACGAGGCCTTCTTCGGCGGCGGAGGAGACGAGGCCGCGGCCGAGGCGGGGTCGCCGTCGCGGGAGGAGGCGGACCTGACCGAGGCGTTCAAGGTGTTCGACGAGGACGGCGACGGGTTCATCTGCGCCCGGGAGCTGCAGGCGGTGCTGGCCAAGCTGGGGATGCCGGAGGGGGAGGAGATGGGGCGGGTCGAGCGGATGATCACCACCGTCGACCGGAACGACGACGGCCGCGTCGACTTCTTCGAGTTCAAGGACATGATGCGGAGCGTCCTGGTCAAGAGCTCTTGAGCCTCCGTAGAAAATTTCTCCATTAGTCATCATCGCAGACGAGCTGCGATCGTCGTCGTCTTTCACTTTGTAATAAAATTCCTCCGCCTATAATAATCGTTCCAATGTACCAACGTTTGATCTTCGATCGTGAAAAACTTGCTGGACCAGACAGGTACGTCGGATCGCTCGCGAGTCCTGATGCTTGTTTCTTGATCTTTCCATGGTTACCCACGTTGAATTCTCTCCCTATTTTCTTAGTACTGTTCTTATTTCATCAGCGATTCTTATTAGTCCTTCTGGAAGAGCATATTCATGCGTTGATTAGAAATGTGCTTTTGAAGAGTAGAGAGATCCGTGGAGAATACAAAAAGAAATCGTTGACCGAACGGCCTTTTGACCGGCGGTCGAGCTCGTGGAAAATTAATGCGGTGCATTGAATGATTCCGACGCAAGTCGATGGCTGTCGCTTTCGCTAAACCACCGTGGAAGGTGAAGAAAGTGGGGAGAGAGTGGAAATAGCTACATTTTGTTGATAGATGATGAATCACGTAATATCCTCTTTTGGGTAATTTTAGTTTTGAGAATTTCCATACACTATAGTTTGATCATAGTTTAGTAGGGGTAATCAGTTTTGGGGTGGATCAGTTTCCACCAAGAATTGGACTAGGCCGGCTCGGTTCCTAGTTTGTGGAACCGGTCCGGTTTAGTTCTAGGATCAATTCGAAACGGTTGATTTCTTTCTTTCTTTTTTTCGGTTTCTTCTATTTTTTATAAGTGGGAGTTTCCAAACATTAAAAGAGAAAAAAAAAATTCTATTTAGGGTTTGCTTTAAAATAAAAAATAAGAAAAAATCTTGATTGGTTTGAGGAGTACAGTCCAATTCCTTATATGGAACTGGTCCCCTCGGGGACCACCCGGAAATGACAGGTTCGGTCTGGTCCAGTCTGGTTTTCAAGTACTTCTATAGTCTAGGAGTTACATAACTTCTGACTGAAAAAATACCAAACGTGATCGAGAGAACCCCCAAAATTGCTCTCCAGAATATTACCTACCTTCATGTTCGAAAAAGCAATCACGAAAATAAGCAGAACGTTGTTTTGTGCAAGCACCAGTCCCGACTAGTTCCGCAAGCCGCGCCATATGCCGCATAAGCATTTCCGCTAGAAAAATGGAATAATGGATGTGTTCGTCTCTCGAGCAAAAGTCGGTGGTCTTTTTCGTTTTTTTGTTCGTTTGAAACGTGGTGTGTTTATGGTCAACAAGTTGGTGCTCGAGGCAACACGAGGCCCATCCGTGTCCGCTCAATTCTCCACGAATTTGATGAATTCCGAGGACCACAGAAGAAACCCACCACTTTTCTCACTCCTTAGGCCTAATCCAATCGGCCAAGCCTAGTCCTTTGAGTCAAAAAACCTAGGGTTGGAGATTCCTATAAGGACAACCTTTGACAATGCCTTGGTTTTTCTGCAAATTAAGAAGGGTAAATAAAAATTGGTAACAAATAAGAAAATTTGGTTACTAAAAAGAAATAAGTTTATCGAGTAACTCAAATTAAAGTTGATAACAAAGAATTGGCCAATAGCTTAATTAGAGAAAAAGGTCAATAAATCACTCTGATTAAGATCGGTAATTTCTAAAACGGTTGGTAAATTCGAAGTGCTGCTGAGAAATGCAAACAAAGCCTATAAATAATAGGGTTTTCTAAATTAAAATATCAAATGAACGTGGGTAAGTTATTCAAATTAAAGCTGGTAATGCAGTACTAGTCGATAATTTGATGGGACAAAAGTTGGCAAGTCAAGGTAATTTAGGTCGATAATCTCTAAAAATAAAAAAGTTAATAAATGTAATGAGTCACTAATCAAGACTGATAAAAGTCGGTAACTCGATAGAAAAGCTGATAAAATAAAACAAAGTCATGCAAATGGTGGCTAATATATAAAATCAAAGTTGCGAATCTAAAAATAATTGGCAATTCGATACAATAAAAGTTGGTAAAGCCGCTCTAATCTAGAAAGATCTCCTTTTTAGAACTTCGAAAACTTCATCCTGGCCCCGGAAAAGTGACCGACCAAGGGCCTTTGGACAAATGAAAGAAAGGGTAGTTGGCAAATTCGAAACATTAACAAGTTAAGTAAATATAAGTTGGTAATTCAACACAAAAATTGCTAATTTGCAAACTATATTGGTAGTTATATATGTAAAAGGTATTGGCCAAAAAAAAATCCTTAGCCGTTCAAGGAAAAAGAGAATTTTTGAGAGTATTTTATAGTACTTGATAATGTTTTGGGGTTGTCCACTAATTGCGCCGAAGGATTCGGTCGGTACGGTCGATTTCTGGGAAATACAAATTTAAACTAGAGGATCCAAATTTTGCACTATACGAACACGACTCGATACCAACAAAATTCATTATATATCGTTTAACTAATATTTGGCCATTTAATTGGACTTGCCTAGCCCAATGGCTAAAGTACAAAGGGTGCACTACTCACACACATCATACACAATGCAAGTTTCGCGCACCTTCCTCGGTCCACTTCTCCGGGCATGTCAATTTCCGCGCACCTCGATTGGCTCCACCTCTCTTGGCATTTTTTAAAAAGTCCGCTTCTCCACGTCGGCCACGGCCTGGTGCATTCAGAATTTTACTTTTGTTTTCCAACTAGACTCGATTCCAAGACTATATATAATAGAAATATGGCTTAATTCCCTTAGAAAACCCCACGACCTTAAATCCAATCCCAATTCTGTTCCGAATTTTTTTATATCTCAGAAAAAAAAAAAGACCTCCCAAACTTTAGGTCAAGTCATAAATCTGCCCCGATTTTTTTTTCTAAAATAAACCACAAATTTTCAATATATTCTTAAATCTACCCCGTGGTCTAGTCTCAACTTGACATAGCATTTCCACATCGATTAATTCACATAAGCAAGGTGACGTAAAAAATTATCTCCAAAATGAAATTGTTCTACGATATGAAAATTAGGGACGATTAATAGCGATTTTTTGACAGAGGACTAATTGGGGCAAATTTGAGACTGCAGTGAAAATTGGTGATTTTTTTCTTAGAAAAAAAATATTTCAAGGTATATTTGGGACTGAATCTAAATTTTAGGGTTTTTTTTTTAGATAAAAAAAAAGTTCACTGGGATTAGATCTAAAGTTGGGGGGTTTTTAGGGAATTAGGCCATAGAGAAGCAAAACTTTCTTGGTCAATCCAAAATCTCATGGGTTATCCTTTTAGAAGATTAAAAATTAATGATGTTTATGCATTTTAAATGGTCCAAAATTTGCTGGCAACAGAGCATCCTTTCGCTTTCCAAGGATACTACAGACGACTGGTGAAGAGACGGGATCCTCTCGGCCGGGCATTCCCGGGACGGTGTATGCCAACAAAAATAGTAAGATATTTCAGGCATTGCCTGCTTTCCTAGCATGTGATGGACCAAACCCTTCATTAATTAAGATAAATGCTCACCAAACCCTTTCTTAATTAAGAGAAATGTAAGACTTGGATACTAAGTGACGTATCAGACCGTTTTTGGCTGTTATATAAGACTCACTTGTAAAGCAAAAGCCATTCATCATCAATTGCTGCCCATAGAGAGAGAGAGAGAGAGCGAGAGAGAGAGAGAGAGAGAATGAGACGACTCTTCCTGGTGGAGATATGTTGGTCCTTTGGGGTGATGATTGTATGCAGTTTCGTGCTTCATCTGTGCAACATACTGTGGCTGAATCACAGAAGGCTGAGAAGGAAGCTCTCGGAGCAAGGCATAACCGGACCGCCGCCGCGCCTTTTCCACGGCAACATTGCCGAGATGCGAAGCATCGCGACCCGGTGCGAGCCTGAGCCGCTCCCTAGAGGCCGAGTCTCTCACGACTGGGCTCACTCCATCTTCCCGTATCTCCACCACTGGGCTCTCCGCTACGGTAATGCCTCTTCGTTCTTCTTCTCCTACTTTTAGGGAAGAACTAATGCATACTTTTATTTTGCAAGTCACGGGCCCTTGTTATTTTCTGCGCCGTTGGATCCTGGATTTGTTTCTGTCAGAACGATTTGGTATAGCGTTATCTTCTCCGCAGACCGGAGTGCGTTTTCTTGTGAAATGTAGCTTGTTGTATGTTACTGCAAGTCCGTGAGATGAGATGGCTCCTGTCTGAAACAAATTGGCTAGACTGATGAGATCCGATAATTCACGTGATCATGAGTTGCGTTGTCCTCAAATCGACACTACATCTTCCTTGGCATGCTCAGCAGTCGAAGCACTGCCACAACGACAATAAGCTTAGTATCACTCAATGTAGCAATCACCCAGTCGACTATTGACCATACAAAGATAGGTGATCTAGAGAGCCATGTAACTTTTAATTAACTGTTTGACCGCGCTTAATTTATCTACAAGCTCGAGGTATAGATAGGTTGATCACGATCTGGCATGATTCAACATGGGTATCAGACAAGATATTATCCCTGAATTCGTCGCCATGTCGATTAAGTTTCTCACTCCCTTGCTTCGAAGCAACCATGTCCTGTTGTTCCAACCCTCGAGCGTTCGCTTTAGCCTTAAAATTATGTCGAACGAAGTCGCTGCTCTATAACACGAGTATCAATAGATCACTTGAAGGTCCTTAGTTCTTTTAATGATCACTGCATATCAGGAAACTCTTGATCTTGATAATATAGATGGCCATATTCATTGGCTAGTGAATTTTCAGATAACATTGATGTAATAGATGACTTCGATAAGTGATCCCACATGAATTTTCCCTAACATGCCATAGTGTCCGCTCTGATGAATTCAGAGGACGGCCTGAAGCTTGTTCCATCTCGGATTTATGTACTGGTTTTTCTATGCAGGCTCGCTGTATATGTACTCGACGAGGCAGAAGCTGAACTTGTACATGAATAGGCCGGATTTAGTTAAGTTTTTGAACTTACATAAGCCTTTGGATTTGGATAAGCCCTCGACCATAGTAAAGACGCCGAATCCTTTATTCGGCAAGGGCATTATGAGGGTCACCGGGCAAAATTGGACTTCTCAGAGAAAACTAATTGCTCCCCAATTCTTCCTCGACAAAGTTAAGGTAAAAAGATATTGACGTGAACTCGATCTGTTCAGTTGGTATAAATGGGGATTTGGTAGTACTTCGATGTTCAACTGTATTGTTTGACGATCATATAGCACAAAAATGTGTTTACTGCTGCAACGTGAAACGGGAGATGGTTTGTATGCAGGGCATGATGGATTTGATGGTGGACTCGGCCATGACAA